TCTTGTGGGCTCTGCAGCACCTGGAGACCGGGAGGTTGCTCCGAAATATGCCTCAGGCGCGAGATGACATGAGGAAGAAAGTCATCCAACGCGGTAACCGCCGGACGAACGTGTTCGAGGCTCTTCCTCATTTCCTCACTCATCGCCCAGAGCTCTCGCGGTACTGTGTAAAGGCAAGCACATCCTTTGTTAAAGGGCCCGTCGAGTTTATCCTCGAACCAGCGCTCCACCCACACTTCGTTGGGGGTAAAGCGTTTGAAGCCTTCGTCTTCATCACTCATCCTATTTTTCCATCGATAGCGAGGCCTATAAGTCTGAAGGTGTTCGTAGGCCCGAAGGGCGGACTCGGCTTTTGGCGCAATGCCCGTTTCGAAGAGGGCGGCGGCCTCGCGTATCTTGCTTTCTACTTCCGTAATGGTAGAGACACCCACATTGATGTCCCTCATCGCCGACCGATGTAACCGCCAGGTACTCGGACTGTCGAATATACGAGTCACCTGTTCCACTGTTGCATTCGGTGGCAGCTCCAAAATCCGCTGCGCGAGAACTCGTAGATGCTCTGACAGGGGCCGCCAGTAATATCCAGAGGTGAGAAAAATTGGAAGCTCCAGTTGCTGCCACTCAGCGTGGAATAATCGCCGCCTTATATCGTCACACTCGGACCATGTTTGAGTGTCACTAGGTGGTTTCGTTCCAAGATAGCAGACTTCGGACAGCCGATCCTGTAGCTCATCCCATCTCGGCCGGCGGCTTCGCCAGGAACGGGGCGAATTACAGTTTCTTATCGCCCACATCCTAGCATCCTCAGATATGGCAGCCATAGCATCGGGGTCGTATCTAAAGATGCCGGCGTATGTAAAGATGCCACCGAAGATACTGTCTCCGCGCATGCCCGCGTAGGGAATAGGCGTGTTACAAATGGGTCTGCCGGTCTTGTTATGCGAGATATCGGTTATACGCCGGAGATTGATATCGTAGTGAGCACTTTGAGAGTCGAACATGATCCTGGAGTACTCATCGGCAAGCGCAGCAATCTCGTCACCGAGAGCCCAACCCCCTGCCGGGGGCTGCCACACAGATAGATCTGAGGTGTTTGAAGTAGGGGACGCCGGTGGTATCTGGTCGTCAAGATGATGTGGAGGAGCAGAGGATGATGGTAGTATTGGAGGCGACCAAAACCGAACCCAAGCGAGGACCGATAAGACGCTAGTAACAGCAACCAGAAGGAATACGATCAAATGCGATCTCGGGACCAGCTCAACGCGCTGGTAGAGCCACAGGCGAAATTCCCCCACCCTTTCCAAAATGGAAGTAATGGAACTAAGGAGGAGGGTTAGAGTGGAGATCGCGCCCGTACGAAAGGCAGCAAAGAGATCCGCGAGGACAGCAAAGACCCGACGTGCGCCGGAGCTCCCGAGAGTGAAGAGATGGTTGCCAGCTGAGAAAAGCCCAGCCAACGCAGCTCCAACAAGATAGACCACCCAGTCCAGGATATTTTGGAGAGGGGTACATGAGGCAACCTCAGACGACGGGGATTGCAAAATAACCCCAGGCAAAGTGATTACACGTCGAGGGCAGTCTTGTGCATTGGAATCGGAGGTGTCCTGCGGGGGGGCAGTATCCTCGAAGAGGCGTAGCGACCTCGTGATGGGATCGTGTTTGAGGACGAGATTAACGGACGCGGAAGTGGTGGGGAGGTTGTTGCTGTCGACAAAGATATCGACGACATGGGGTGGGAACTCCTCGCACTCTCTACCGAAGCCAAGAGGCACACGAAGGTTGGATAGGCGGCTTTTATTTCGAAACATATTTGCCGATACCTGGTGAATTGGAGGAAGCTTGAGGTTGGGAGGGATTCGATATTTCGTAATAGTTCTAATGAGGCCTGTCAAGGCCGAGAGAGATTTTGGAGCTCGCGGCTCAGAATTTGATGCCAGGGTTGGTTGAGGCAAGCTCAGCGTGAAAGCGGTAATGGCAGAAAGAAATTGAGAGCAAAGAAATTGAGTCCTACTCGGGCTCAGGGACAGGAGAAGGACGAGGAGAAGAAGAAGAAGAAGAAGAAAGAGAAAGGGGGAGGGGGGTTCGAATCTCCCATGCTTCCTCGTCCCACATTCCATCACCACACATGTAAGGTTGGTCCCATCCGCGTTTGCGCCTACATTTGCGTTTGTGTTTGCGAGAGCAAACCGTGCCTGGCCCGTCGACTCATTCTTTTATTTCTTTGGTATTTGTTTCTGTTCCCTCTTTTAACCACGGGTGCTGAACAGGTTCTGTCTTAGCGAGGAGCGTTTCTCCCCCCAAATCATCCCAGGATGCGTCGGTAACCCCGGGGGGTCGCGCTAGGAGAGGAGATGGGGAATGCAGAATCAAACAAGTCAAATGCTCATACAATCACGGCATTCCTGGACGTGGTCACCAGCGACACGGATGAGTACTTGCCCACTTCTCCAATTCCATACCAAACTGAAAATTGGTGAAAACAGTCAAACCACATCCGCTCACACCGCTGGCCGAGCATGCAAATAACAAAGACGCCACAGGTAGCGGCGAAGGCACCCCCCTCATGTTTTCCCAGGGTGGAGAAATGATGCAGTCATCACCATCCGCGAAACTGTTGGGCTTCGTATACAAAGAGACAGAGGAGCCCGAGGAGCCCAACGAGGTCTACCGCACTCCGTCTCTTGTAGCTATTGGTCTACATCGATGGGGAATGAAGCAATCAGGCCAGAGATCAGAAACTGGGAATGGAGCCCGTCCAATGTGCAATATTTATGCCCTAACGTTACTTTTCTCCTGTAACATAGACGAAACGGAAACTACGAATAAAGGCAAAAGTCCTGGACCCAGATATGTGCGACGACTCTAACAAGGCAAAACAGAATAAGAAAGGCCGGGTTGGCTGGTAATCCAATGGATGAACTCGATGAGGGATGAGATGGATCTTGGAAGAGGAAGACAGGGGAGATGGAGAAGATGAAGGAAAAACAAAAAGACAATCTTTGAGATGAACAAGATGTCTGGATTTAAGAGCCACCTACAGAAATTGCATTAATTTATCTGTGAATCTCATCTTCACTTCCGCCTTGCCCTATCACTCGGTTATTGTTCATATTGCCCAAGAATATCCATAAGCCCTTTTTCAATCATCGTTACCAACTCCTCCAAATTCTTCAAGTCAATGATCGGATCTTCATTCAAACGTCCCTCGGTCGCTTCCACATAATTGATTGCCGCGTTGAGGCTTTCCATAAGCTTTGCCAGCTTGGCTTTGAACTGTTTTAGCTCCTCCACTAGCTTGGACACTACCCACCTTGCGATCCTTTTCGCCATTTCCAGGTCGTCCAATTGAACCTCCGCTAGAATTCTCTCCACACCGCGGAGCCCAGTCCTTATACGCAGATTGAGCCCATCGCTCGAGACCGACGCAGGGCTATTTTTGAGGTTCCTATGGAAATCCGAAATTCGATCCGTCTCGTTTTTCTTTGTGGACTGGATTGCTTGGGCAAGATTCAATAGCTCTCCAGCGTAGCCCTTGATAACCTCCGGGGCTGGATCTCGTCTACCTGTCTTCACGCTAAGCCAGTACAGGGCGTATTTGAAATACTGGATAGCCTTGCGCACAAGAGCAGTGACCCAATGATCGGATGTATCGTTACTCTCCCGCCCCTGAGCTAGGGTGAGGGCATTCAGCTCTGACCGGATAGAGCTGCGAAGCCTGCGGAGCCCGGCGACTTGCCTCGCCATTGTCTGTCCCAACTCGCCCAGAAACTCATCGAAATCGTTGTTGAGCTCGTCCAAGGGATCCAGGTAGCTTTGGCAATAACCGGCTCCGGGCATTGTCCCCGCCATCGTTCCCCCTCGGCAATGGCACAGGTGCTCCCCGATGGTCCTATAGAGGGACAAGGACGGGAGCACCGCGGCAGCGTTTAAATTGTTCATTTCGGTGTGGGTGGGACCAGGCCCCGAGAAATTCGCATTCCATGGGCTGCCTGGAGGCGACTGACCCCCTGCAACAATAGGAATCAGATATCCGGATGTGGCAATAGCTAGGATCGCGAATATGATGAGGAGGTTGAGTTTGGGCCACGCCGAATGGCACCAGGAACGGATGGCGGTTGGAATGCCCAAATGCTGCCGGACCCAGAGGATTGCAGGGGAGTCACCACCAGTTTGCTTGTGGGGCTGATCCGGGTCTCGAGATAAGGGTTGCCCATCGCGATTCGGAGAACAAGAGGTAGGGGCATTTTGTGACTTCCGCGACTGTGTTTGGCTCTGTTCCTCTTCTGAGTCGGCGTTGTGAGGCTGAATCGGAGCTGCCATCCACGGCTCCTCCGGAATGGGCATTGTAATTGGGAGCAAGAGTCTCAGTTTCAGGATGGCACGTGGACACCAAAGACACCTGTATAGTCAGGACTCTTCGCTTTGACTGTTGGGGAGATTTGAGAGAAAAGAGGGGTTTTAAGCTTTTTACAACTATGGATCAACTATGCCATGTACACCATCCAGCGAACATCCGATTTTCCTAGAGATAGCAATAATAACTTGGATTTGCGGTGAGAACGCCCATTCAGACCCCCCCGCGCGAAAATCCAAATCTTAGAAAGGGAGCCTCTGTGTTGAGGTTCCAGACTCCAGACCGCCGGATAGATGTCTCGGAAAGATCAGCTCTGTCCAGGTATGTCTCAGCATGCTGTGGTAGGTCTCTTCAGGTATGCCCATCAATCGTGTTGGAATTGATCTCCCTCCATTTCGCCAAGTGCCCGTTTCCGTTTCCGATCCTCTCTCCGACGCCACTCGATATTATTGAAGGAAGGGTAGATGTTTGTTTGCCAGCACAATCCCAACATCTTCTCACGTTCCAGTCTCGCATTCCATGTCAGCAGCAAATCCCCAGCACCAGTTCCTGGCTCGTCATCGAAGAACAATTATAGCAACGCAAGGCCTGTAGGCGTCTGCAATTCAACAACATACCACGTTAGGCTAGAACTGGTGGCGCTAACATGTCGTCAAGCTCTGTAAGTCTTTATCCTGTACGTTTTGGTCTTTGATAATTTCCTCGTTTTGTTTTCTCCGATCGAAGGACCCCTTATGCCCTTGGAGCTAAATTGAGTGAGCCTGAGAACACTATTAACATGAGCACTTGGGATCGAAGACGAACTATGAACTTGGGGCTCCGCCCCGACATCGACACGGTCGGCAGCGGACCGAGGAGGAGGACAGAGATGTCCGACTACACGCTGAAGGAGGCAACGAGCCAATTTGGTGGAAATATACTCTGGTTGCGGAGGTGCTGGTGGTAATCTTCCTGCTCTCTTGCGCCTATATGGGAAGCACCAGGGAGTCGCAGCAGACACCAATAACATCCGGATCGTCGGTATCGCCAGTACCGCCACCTACCGCTCCTTCATCGGCCGCCGGCACCAATCTCAATATCAATTCCAGACGGCAAGCGCTCACGCCGAACATCGACATCGCCTGTGGGCTCCACCTCCGGTGGTCCGCAGTTTCGCTGCAAGAGCCATACCAGTTCACGCTATACGATATTGTAGGCGTTTACGCCACTTGGGAGTCCATGGGGTTTGAAGATTTCACAGATGCGGTAACGTTTGAAAGAGTTGTTTTAGACACCCTCACCCGAGCAGCCAGGTCCTCTGAGCAGCTGCCCCAAGACCAGAAGGGCTGCTCCTGTTTGGAGGATGACTCCACCGCCAGCGATGGGAACATGAGTGGAGGAGGACATTCCTGCCGCCCAACCCCGGAGTTTACGATGCATGATTCCAAGTTTACCATCCAGATCTCCGCAGCAGACTTCCTCCTCGACAAGAAACGCAAAGCGTGGTACGACAGGTCTTTTGCGCCGCTCACCAAAGCGGGGACAACTTTCCATCAGGTCTCTGATCCGGAATCTGCCTCTTCCACATCCACAATCCCGTGGGCTCTCCGCAGAGAAAATCCGGACCTGGAGCGCAACACTGACCGCCAAAAAAGGATTGATGTTGCGGATATGAAGGCGGCGTGTGCAAATATTTGGGACAGGCTTAATGAGGCTCTGCTCCTCAACGTTAGTGAAGTGTGACGAGCACAAGATGCCCTGGCTTGATTGAATGTACTCATTAAGATACGGATCGTGATCGAGAATTTTCACTTGTAATGGGATCTTCCGAGCAACCCAAATCTTAGATAGCTATGCCAGTTGATATCATTCACGTTGTTTCTTACATGCTTAATTCTCTTCATTCCAATCTTCCAAAGCAACATGTGCTGTATGGGTTGAGAAACGTAAAGAAGAAACGTCTCGAGCAGCTCACCTTAACGCCGAAGGAAACCAAATGTAAACGAATCAATGTGAGCCATGGTAAAGTTACCTGAGTTCTATAGAGGCCCAGCTTTCATTTGAAGTAGTATTCGCGGCCGGATAGGATGCGGCAAGAGACTTCTACGTGAGGACAAAGTAGGCGGAGGAGACACAGGAGGGAAAAATACAATCGACGCAAGATATCTACGGTCTAGAAGTAATGGAATCCCACTTTTGGGCTGTGTTTCATCGAAAACGAAAGAAGGGGGGGAAATGAAGAAGAAGAAGAGAAAAAAAAAGGGGAGAAAGAGGGGGGGAGGGAATGTCTTTACCCTGCGTCCCAAACTCCCGAGCATTCCAGCTTCCTTTCAGAGGTATATATATTCATAGTTTTCTGCGCCCCAAAAGTTTTTCCTTTTTTCCCCCTGCGTCATAATCATAATCACAGAGGCGAAAGATAGAAACGATCGAAACATCACATCAGCAGCCAATCCTCCATCCTCAAGACCCACTGGATTCACAATGGACACCGAGGATCAAGATAATTTCGAAAACTCAGAATCATCCGAAAGTCAAAATACGACATCGAAACTTCGCGACATTGTGCCATCACTGGTAGTGGTTCAAGTTCCTATCGACAATGGAGTAAACCGATGCACCATCAACATTAAAGTTGACCGCGAGACCTGGCTGCGCGAGGCCCGACAGCTCCGCCGCAAGCTGGCGAAAGCCAAGGGCGAGAAACTGCGCGCTAAGATCTGGAGTGGCAGACTGTTTAAATGGACGGACCAATCCCGGCGCGGGAATGTCAGTCGCGGCGCCCGTGGCAGAAGAGAGTCGTTACTCGGATGGACTCGCATCAAGAAACGGCAGGCAGGAAGAGCTCCTACCCCGGCATCCTACCAACTAGTCGAATTCCCCCAGGTCAGCCTCGAGGCACTGTTCGAGGCGCCCTTCCTATCAACAAATACTATGAGGGCCGGACACGAGGAGAGTATTAACTCTCCGGGTCCGCGGCTGGGGCCCGATTATGCATACTAGGAATATCTTACCGAGGTCGCCCATGAAGCCCGAGTGTCGGTTGCCAGAGCCCTTGCCCAGTTCAGTGACCGAGTTTCAGAAATTGCGGGTTATGTGTGGTGATGGTTGGAATGGGACAGACGTTAAGCGTGAGGAATACTCCAGTCAGGCGAGGAAAAATATCCCAGATTCCGTAGACACTCTTTTTCAAATAGACTAGGAATAAAACCAACTTATTGCTCCTACCTGCTCACCTTGAACCTGGGGCGAATAGCAAGTCGCCAATGCCATGCCGCACTGCCCCCTCTTAGCCACACCACCTGTTGGAAAAGGAGGGTAAAGTGCTCTGATTCCGCTATCTAAAATGGTTCCAGATGAGGGGCGTAGAGTCCTTTTTATAGTGGCTCTTTTCCGAATTGGGAATCCATTTTTTTGGACCAGCGTGAACGGTTCAGACACACGAAAAACGGGGAAAATGGGCAGGGAAGTACACTCCCGATGATGTTGGAAAAATGACCTTCTACAGTGCGATTTGGTCTATTTATGGACAGTCGATATGTACCAGGATTGCTAGCCCGTTTCGTCCTCAGCCACCTTTTCAATCCCTGGTCCAGACCTTCTGACACCACCTCAGCATATCTTTTGGGTGCCTAATACTTTAATCGGGTCGCCTCTCATGCACGACAGAAAATCCTACGCACTTAGGAACATATACAACAAAGCCGAAATCGAATTATGCGGGGTTCTTCAATTAATGGATAACACGTATGTAGCTCTACCTCGGGTACACCAATCGATGCCCCGGCCCTTAAGTGGCTAAGCATCTCTGTAAAAGGGTTCATGCAGGCCCGTTGTCCCATCACATCGAGAACCAACTGCATAATCCGAAACGGGATGCGACCCAACAGGCGAGCATCAACTGTGGGACCAAGATCATTTTCTTAATGGCCTTTCATCCCCCTCTCCTTTGGCCTCAGCCAAGCGAGGGCGCCTACGCAGCTTTCCGCTGTGGCTTAGAAGCTAATGGTGGGTGGAGAGCGACCGTGAAGGCCACACTCGGTTCTGGGGACAAGACACATGCGCCCCCTTCCTCTCCCCCGGCCCCCTGCATGTCCAAGAAGTTGTATTTGCCCGTCTTGGCTAAGATTACCGAGATAGCGAGACGGGGAGATGTGATCAATGAGCCGGGCGCGATTCGGGGGATGTGCGAGCTCCTAATTTACGCAAAGAGCTTAGCGGAATCAACTGGATGTACTTTAAAAGCAGAGCATTATCCCGCCTCTTGCTTGAGGATACGACGAGCTATACCGCCGTGACACTTTACCATACCTTTATCTCAAGCTAGCCTTGATTGATCGAGTGCCATCACATTTGAAAATCTTCCAGCCCACCCATCAGTCCCAAAATGACCACAGATGAGCCCACCCCGAGCGAGACGGTGCCTGCATTCCAGGAGATGCACCAGGACCAGAAGGAGCTTTTCGACACCATAGATGACCTTCGCTCTCTCGGAATCGGCAAGATTGTCGACCTTCCGCAAATCATCGTCGTCGGCAATCAGTCCTCCGGGAAGAGCTCGGTGCTTTCCGCCTTATCTGGTGTCCAATTCCCTACTAGCTCAGCCGTTTGCACCAGGTTCCCAATGGAGCTGGCTCTTCGCACTGGTCCAAAGACGAATATAGACGTGTCTATTATTCCGGAGGAGGGAGAAAGGGAAATATTGACGACTCGATCTAGCACGGAGGAAATCCCTGACGCAATTGAGGAGGGTAAGAAAGCCCTCGGAATCGACAAGAACACGCGGGATATGTTCCCCAACGTGCTCAATATTGAGATCACAGCCCCAAATGTGCCCAATTTAACCTTGGTGGACCTTCCCGGCCTCTATAACAACGAAAGTCAGTGGCAGTCGAAGGAAGGGATTAAGGTTGCCTTTAAGCTGGCGGAGAAGTACATGAGCCAAAAGAGAAGCATCATTCTTGCCGTCGTCTCAGCTGCTGGGAACGTCGTCATGGACCAAGCCATCAAGGTCGCCAAAAAAAAGACGGTTGATCCCAATTTATCGCGAGTCCTTGGCATCATCACTCAGCTGGATGTGATTGAGCGCAACCAAGCGTCGACGCAGGAATATCTGCAGGTGGCTCAAGGGCGCGATCCAACCCTCAGGCCAAAGTACGGCTGGCACGTACTCCGGAACTTATCGGAGGAGGAAACGAGACTAGGCCTCACAGATAAGGACAGAGATGTCAAAGAGACAGAGTTCTTCGGCAGTGGTCCCTGGGAGAACTATGCGTCAGAGAATAAGGGAATCAGAACCCTACACAAGAAGCTCATCAAATTATCACGAGACCATATTTCTGAATCGCTCCCCCGCGTGGTTTTCGACATCGAAACTGCCCTTGCGAAGAGGACTGCTGCCATTGAATCGCTGGGAGCGTCGCGCAACGAGGTGTCAGATATCCGCGACTACTTGCATGACATCGTGCAAAAATTCCGCGAGACAGCCCAGCAAGCGGTCCGGGGCAGCTACTTTACCCAAGATTTCTTCCAACATCTGACGACCAACCCTCTTGGTACCGGGAACTTGCATGTCAGGAAACTGCGTGCGTTTGTTCGCGAGTTGAACCGGGCGTTCACCACAATCATGCTTTCAAAAGGACACAAATTCGCTATCCAATGGTCTAACGGGTCCTCTATGCCAAGCGGATATCTTAACCCTCTGCGACCCGACATAGATCCACTCATCCGGCAATACTACGTCCATCTCAAAGACCCCGAGGGTATTTCAGAGCCTGCGGTAAAGCAGCGTTGGGCGTCGAAAGTGGTCGGAAGTAAGGGGTACGAATTTCCCGGAGAGACGAACCCCGTTGCCATGTTGGACCTTTTCGCAGAGCAATCAAGTCCGTGGCAAGGACTGGCGAAGAATCATCTTCATCTGCTTGTTTATGTCACAGAGAAATTTGCCGAAGAGCTCCTTCAGCATATTCTGGCCGCAGACCCCAAAACCTATGAAAGCATCAGGGTCAACTACATAAGCCCATTTTTCAAGAAGAAGAAACGACTTGTGGAAGCGAAGCTCGATGAAATCCTTCCCTCCACTGCGGCGTACGAGATCGCCTTGGAGGACAGGATTGAAAGTGAGACTAGCATCCGCTACCGACAACGGCTTATATCACAAATCGAGACATTGGAAAGCGCTCTTAAGGAAGAATCCGAAGAGGTGCGCCGATTTATAGAGGCGGGTGAGCATAAGAGGGAGGCGATACTACGCAACCCGGAGTACGGCCGCGAATACGTCACGCATCTCAAGAATGAGCTAGCTCAGCGTGGCGACCCTCTCGGCAAAGAAAGCAGTGACTTTGCACTTGAAAAGACAATTGACAACATGATGGTGTACTACGAGGTAAAATAGAAGTGATTCATCTTCATCGTGGATGAAAGCTCAGACTGACGACGAAATTCTCCAATAGCACCATCTGACAATCTTCATCGAGAATGTGATAATTCTCGCCGCAGAGAAGCAACTCATCCACGACATTCCAAAGATCCTGGACTGGAAATCGTTTGACCGGATGGACGAGACCGCGCTAAGGGCTCTTGCTGGAGAGGCTCCCGAGATCCAACAAGAAAGAGAGCAACTCATCGTAGAGAAGGAGGAGCTCGAAAAGGGTCTCGAGTTGTGCAGGAAATATCTACGACGGAATCAAAGTAGGTAACCGCTGGCAGGGTCTACACACATTCTCTTCGTTGGGCTGGGCTGAAGACTAATATTCTATGCCTAGGCGCTCGTCACATTACTCCAAATGTGCAAGTAAATGGCTTCGGTGTTAATGGAGTAAACGGTCCTGTAGAAGAGGAGCTTTAGGAAATTGGGTGGAATGTGGGGGTGCGCCATCACTGGTAGGTACAACGATGGTATAGGTGTCGTTTGGTTCATCTGTTTTTCTCCGAATTTCTCCGAATTGAAATCGGCCTACACCCATCACCTCTAGAGATGTATTGTGCGCATAGCGAAAGACACCGGCGATTAGGGTGCCGCACGTATCATGCGGCCTTAGTTGAGGAAGCCGACTATGAATATGATTTTGATAATGTCACTACACCTGCATTCCAGAAAATATCTCACGACGTCAGCAAATTTCTTTAAAGTCTAGACCATTGTAGACACCATAGTTTCTAAATAACATAGCCCTATAAAGACATCCTGCAGGATGGAGTTGCCATAGACCGCCATTTGTTGTCGACCTCGCTGCTTAAATACAGTCTTGTAGAATCAGGCATGGCCAGAGTTATCATTGTCGTTCTTATACTATAAAACTAATTAAATTTATTATATTATTCTCTTACTTTTTATACTTGCCTCTAGTTCTACTACCTCTTAGTATATTTATCTTTTCTCTATATATTAAAGTTATATATAGCTAGCTATCCCTGTCACGAGCTGACCGTTTTGAAGGCCAGGGCGGTGAGCCGCGGCGGAAAGGCTAAACTACGGAACACCGTGGGCCAATGAGAAGGAAGCTCCGGGACCGACGACGAGATATGGTCGGTCCATGTTGGGACCGACGATGGGAGATCACCGGTCCCAGGAAGAGCTTGGAAGAGAAACGTCTATTTAAACTACGGTTCCTACCATGTATCTAGTTTGTCTTTCAAGACTCTTCAGTAGTCAATTCAAGTACAACTACACCCCTACACATGAATACGCACTTCTCACCGATATCTTGTGAACACTGCTTGACTGCCTCACTCTACCACCAACAGACAACCACCTCGGTCCTGTCACCAGTTGTATCCACCTGATACCGCCAACGGGCTAGTGTTAGGATCGTAACATAAGTCAGGTTGCTTAAAGCGGACAGCTATCTTAAATAATCAAGAGGACGGGCGCATCACGAGCAGCTCCCCGGCCTGCCCAGAGACCAAGTTTTCCGCATGTATACTGACAGCGACTTTGATGAGTACGTACTCCTCTCATGAGTTGCCTATTATCGGTATCAGCCATGGATATGGTTGTTGTGTTTAACTTCGGATGTCTATCCAGCCAGTGGCCACTCCCGCAATGGAATGGATTGATTATCAATCATACTTCAAGCCATACCCGCCCCGGTCTTGCTTTCCCTCTTCCCTCAGCTTAAGCCTTACGCTAGCCCGCACCTTCCTAAGAGGATCTAGACTCATGAGGTCATGGGGTATTGCTGACTTATCACTTTGAAGGCCCCGTTGCGCTTGCCATCTTCAACATTCAACTCTTTTTGCATTACTCCCACCGAGTCCTCGACTGCTCGAATCCTCGACCCCTCGCACAGCACCAAGTGAAGGCTCTTTTCCTTCCTCTTCTTTTTTCCATTTTCCTTTTCCATTGCAAACGCAAGCGTCGCTTAATCGTCTACAAAGCCCCTCTACACCGTGCACCCACCGTCACCATGGAATCGATTATTAGCAACTACGCCTCCAATGTGAACGAGCTTGTCCGCGCGTTCGTCTCCGATGTTTCCACTACTGCTGAGGATCGAACTACCCTCATCTCGTTCTTGAACGCTCGACCGATCCGGCTTGCCTCCGTTGCATCTTCTTTCATCGATACCCCTTACGATCTTCCCGATGTTCGTCAGGTTCTTGATTCGATTCCCAAATACCCGTCGTTTATGGTCGATGCGCAGGTTTCGGGATCACCTTCCTTTAGCGGCTCATTCTCTGCATCCGAAAATGACTGCTTTTTCTCGCTTCCCGTCAAACTTCGCCAGGATATTGCCATTCATCTTCCGACTAGTGACTTTTTGACTCTGCGGCGTGTGTCGAGGGCATTCTGGCCCGTCTTTCACAGCCAGCAGTTCTGGGCATCCAAGTTTTTTATGTACGGCGAGCGTGGATGGGTCATCGAGTTCCAAAGGAGAAGCTCCGGCGCGTCGATTCCGGACTGGAGATGGTGGTGGCACCGAACACGAGATTGCAACGAGCGATGTGGCTCGGACTGCGATGGCTACGCATGTCATTGCGAGGCGCGTGATCGCGACTATTGGGCAGAGACGGACTACGAAGGGAGGCGGCCGTGTAGCTGCCACCGTGGAGCCCACCTAGCTGTTCACAGGCAAAGGACACGCGTATGGCGTTGTGTTTGCTCTTTGCATAGCATTTTGAGCGTCGACTGGGATACGTCTGCCACCTCGGCAGCCCATTCGCTCCCCGAGGGCATATCCTGGGTCGAAGTCTCTGGGACTATCGAACGTAGAGTACCCCTTTACAATAGCTTTAGGGAGGGCTGTCGAGTGTTTGAAAAACGGCTCGTAACCATACCGTCGAATCTTCGCAGGATTGGCTTCTCCTTTGTCCGTCTTGACCGCGCAGAGTATATTTCGGGAATAAGACTCATCACTAACAGCACCGAAGATGTCAAGCTTGGATTTCAGTCCAGTACGCACCAGGTTGTCGTGGACGGGTCTGATATACGAGGATTCATCGTCGCAGCCGATCAACGGGGTATTCGGGCGTTACAAATGATTACTTCTGATGGATGTGCGAGTCGGTGGGTGGGCAACTCAAAGGTCATACCCAAGACGAGACGTCTCGCTTTTCGAGAAGGTCTAGTAGTCGCTATAGAATGCGGATTCGATGTAAGGATGAAGCCACGTCTTTCTTAACTTCATTCTAACCTATTAACACTCCCTTGAAGGCGCTGAAGATGGTCAGCTTGGCCGTTCCCACCCCCGACCCACGCCCTTCTCACGAGAGAAATAGGCTCCGTGATAATGCGTTCTGGTACCCCGACATCCCCGGCACCCAACTAGAACTCAATGAGAATTCATTCCCCCAGCGAAACCAGGACAATTCTACCTTTCGACCTATAGTTTGGAATTTATTTGGCGGGTCGGGTGGCATATATCTGCGCAACTTGACTGGAATCGTCGTAATCGCTGACAGAAACCGAATCCTCGGAATCAAGTTTCAGCATAACTCGAAGGGAGTACCCGTTGAATGTCGTCAACTGGGACGATGGTCATGGTCCACGGCTCAGGAAGTTTGTCTGCCCATCGATGGTCCTAATGGCGAGCTCTTAACTAGAGTCGACATCTATCTTGAGTTCACAAAGTGTGCGGACAGTCCAGATGAGAACTTGTCGGGCTCTTCTCGTGGGGGTGGGTGCCTCCATGAATGTATGAGCCACGGTATACCCGCAGGCGTTAGGGTAAGTTTTGTACTCTTGCCTTGTGTTGTTTACCGGTCTGATATTGTTCGACATGCGTCGTGAACTTTAGTTGGCAACAAACTGGGGAAACCAGCGCCAATTTGGTATTGTGGATGAGGAGGCCTATGAGAAGGACGCCCCCTTCAGATTGAAGGGGGTGTTCACAGAAATCGCTCCAGGGACGACCATAACTGGGTTCTACGCACAGCAGGTATGCGATCACAGTTTTGGTAACTTCCGCGTTTCCACTCGAACTAACATTCAGTTCTTCTCTCAGAATGACGGTCTTAGTCACTTTGTAAGCCTCGGAGTCGTTTCTGAGGCGATACAAGAAGTTCCAGGCTCCATTTCCAAGTGATCACACTTGGAAATCGCAGGTATCGGTTGAGGTTCTGGGGGATATTCCTTCGCGTCATGATGGGTTTCCCGATACAACAAGGTTCTTGTCCGGGGAGCCGATGACTCTCACCATAAGTTCCTTGATGTTGGGCTATTTTACATCCTAGATGGACTGACAGGACCTATTTTGAATATTTAGATAATTTTCACGACTATTTTCTCAAATGTATCTAGTCGATTTGCTCGATGGGCATTGCTCTAACATTCAGGATGAGAAGATGCTTCTACAGGTCATATGAAGTTATAATATCAAATGGACACTTCTCGTTCTTGCGTTGCCATGCAGTTTAAGGCATGCATGCATGCACAAGTTAGCAGGCGAAGAGCTAAGCTTACTTCTACTTGCTAAAACACAGCCGTTTATAATGGCTTTATAGGAGTTACTAAATTTTACTATAACTGGGAGCGAAATTGGTGTCTTATTAGTGTGATTGCGATGGACGTGCCACACGACAGTCCTTGAGGCAACATTTATTGCTGGCACAGTCTGGCCAAGGGAGGCCCTCGATATCTCGGGCTTTACAACCCTGATCGCTAGACTAATAATGCTTGGTTTATTAGCAGAACATGGCGCGGATTGGATAAAAACAAGACTGTTGACATACTCCTTCCACTTCCTCATGACTTGAAGAAATGACTTGGGGCAGAACCTGCAGGCCTGTTTGTTTGGATGGGGTTTCTCTAGTGTAGGAGAATGCCGTGCCATTCATACACTCTACAAACTTCCAAGCGGCCCAGCTCTTCACCCATGTCATCTTGTTGTGGGCATGTCCCCGTCGAACCGCGGATATTTATTCACTCATCTCTATAGATGGAAGCCACTGTTTTCTTCGAAGACGATACACATAAACCGTGTCTATAAATCGGAGTCATTAATCATTACCCTATCCAACACGAAAAAATATAGGAGTATAGATATATGGATATCCAGCTCGATCAGATCCTCCCACTACTTATACACCCTGTGCCTACTCAACGGCGTCCACCTCGGCCGGCTCCCGACCGTTGTAAACGCTACATACCCGACATCCCGATCGGGCCACACATCGGCAATCTGCACCCTCAAATCCTTCAACAACCTCGATCTCTCGGTGCCATGCAGCGCCGACCCAGTCTGCTGCTGCGGCACGAACACGTTGTCCCGCACCATGGAGCTAGCATAGCCCAGCACATCGGGCGCCAAAGTGATGAACTCGAAGGTGGCGCTGGCAACGGCGAGGGCCTCGAGTATGATGGTCGAGGCGATAAGTAGGCCGATCCACCAGCGGTTGGCACGGTAGACTTCTGTCGCTTTGGATTTGGTAGCGGCGGCGGGGACGATGCCGCGGAGGGGATCACCTAGAAGGGTTTGATTTAGGGTATCGAAGGGGAGGGCGACGCTGCTGGCGGAGGATGATGAGACGGATGGGTTTGGGGCTGTCGCCGCTGCTTCTGGGTTGTTGGAGAGGAGAACTTTGAGGGGGGCCGTAGTGGCGTTGAAGGGGTCGAGGGTCGATTGCCAGAGGGTGTTGAAGGCCGTGGTCATGCGTCTTGAGAAGACTGTCATGTCGGTGTTTGTCCAGTTAGACACGGATTTGTGCAGGAAGAGTACGGTGTCACCGGCGAAGTACAACTCCGTTGCGGAAGCGGTGTCGTGATCGATGACTATCGACGCTCTCTGCCAGGACTTGATCGTGTTGACCATGGAGACTGTCCATAAATTAGGGGGCCACACGACCCCGAAGGGCTCATTAGTGTGGAGGCGCCGCTGCCGTTTTGCGGAGCAGATGGTGGACGGATTCGGGCCACAGGATAGCTGGGTTTCAACAATGACGGGGGTCGCAGGGCAAGTAAAGTACGACACCGCTTGGAGCAGCTTCTCTTCATCCCAGGACCTTACCGCCAATAAGAGCGTGAGAGGCTCCGTGCCCGCCGCATCCTTCCAATCGAAAAATGTCACATTGCCGGGGATTTCGAAAACACCCGTGAGGGGCGCTTGACGCTCGGTCATTGGGGTTACCTTATCAAACAGGATAGTGACATTCAGTCGTTTTGCGTCGACGATTTTGGTCGTGTCGTTCTTTGTTACCGTGTCCGCCATCAGCGAGCAGGTAAAGTCAATGTAAGAGCTTTCGACGGTAACATCGTAAGACACGCCGTCTTCGGTCGTAAACCCTTGCATCTTCAGACCAACCAGAGCAGAGTAATCGTCCTTTCCGTCGAGGAGGGCCTGTTGGTCGATATCCCGCCAGCCATCCGAATCAGTCTGATAAGTCCTCGACAGATCCCATTTCGGAATTTTCGGCCTCTCCCACATGTCCGTCAGGGCGCCCTTCATAGCCGGGGAAGTCAGCAGACTCGCCGAGTATATCGTCGACAGGATGGCCTCCGCATCGTCCAGTCCGCTCGCCGAACTAACCCAGGAGTCACCCTCGGTAATATTAGGGTAAAAGAGCGTCATAGACTCGGAATCAACATGCATTTCCGTATAAAGAAGGCGAGACGAACTCTGGCCGCCGATGGGAGACATGGCCCAGACCATGAGCGTGACGACGGCCATGGCCAAGTTCGTCCGCAGAAAGAAGGCGCGCTCGAATGTGCCGGCGAAGCTCTGGCTGCCGAGGATCTGTTCGAGGGCGGCGAGGCCGATGCCCCGGCGCTGCTCGGCCTTCCATCGCGCTAGATTTCGGAAGAAGCGGCTTGAGATGGCGGCGAAAATTATGGGGAATACGGTCGGACCGAGACGGGTGGCTTCTACAACGGTGTCGCCATAGTCGGAGATGGGTTGGAAGTCGAGGGCTAATGCGAAGACGGCAAGAACTAGTCGAACAGAAATCAAGGTTCAATTAGCAGGTGGTCCTTGAGACGTGGGGATATATTCGGGATTAAACCAAAATGAAGAAGCATCGCGAGGCGGGGAAGATGGAGAAGTCAGGACGCACTTAGGAACGCAATGGGACAGAGAGCCAGAACAATGTCCCACAATCGCAACGGAAGCCAGACAGCAAATGGCCCGCGCCTGCCTAGAATCTGGGGATGCTCGGGCCAGCCAGGCGGCGGAGGCTGGGAGGTCGGAGTCGGTTCGCGCTCTTGGACGGTGGCGGAGAAGACGGGCTTCCGGGGCACGGCGAAAGTCTTGGGCTTAGGCTGTTCCGAAGTAATGTCGGAATCGAATTCGACGTACGGAGGTCGAGGATAGCTCGGCTCAGTGCTTGTCGGAATCGCTACGTACGACATGGTGGGGCAATGGTGATGTTGCCCTCAACATTCATGTCTCAGCCGTTGGAGACCGGAGGCAAGTCGACGAGCTCGCGAGGTCTGCGAGAATTGAAAAAAGTGCGAGGCGACCCTCTGCGCCGCGGAGGTGCGTGCCACGTCCGTTTTATGATTCGGGTGGAGACACTGCAGGGACAGGACCAGGACAGGACCAGGACAGGGATAGATTAGAAAGGACAAGCACAGATATTTGATGCATTTGATGGCAGCGAATTCGCAATCGCAGAACCCTTTCAGATTAGGACCCCACTACCTTTGAGATATCATCATCAAACCAAGTGCGGAGAACAAAATCCCATTGATGACCGAAGCGCTCGCTTGCGAGGTGGCTGAGTTGGCAGCGCATGTGTGGACAGTTACGCGACGCCCCCAAATGGACCCCAACAGGCGCAGGGAGGCGCAGCGCATCTTCTGCAGCATCCTCTTGAACCATTGGCTCTAGCCCTCCATCCCTGTTCTCCCGTCGCAATCCGGCACCTTGCATGCTCGTCTGTCTAAAAATGGAATTTTTATAATTGAAGGTAGAGGCTAAATGCATGATCCCTACGAAGTAAATCCTTGGAGATAAACTAGAAACAAACGAGCGGAGAAAGTAAAGGTGAGCACCCGGATTGCAACGCTGACGGCATCATTTGCCCTCCCATCCCGGTGGATAGATACTCCTTCATCGTCAAAGCCCCATAGGGCTGGATTTGGAGACAATGAGGAGTTCATTAGAGGGGTACGAAGAATGACGATCATCCTCCTGAAGGATGAGGTTTCGGCCCCCTGCAATGCTGTGCCTCTCCATTGGAACGATGGTGAATCGATGTAACACGCAAGAGCGACGGCCCGGGCCCTGGTTGGCTGTTTTACGTGCCAAGCCTAAGAACCAAGAAAAGGATGGAATTAATTTAATCTCGCCTGACTCGAGCCGGTTTTAGCCCTATAAGGCGACCTGGGAGCAAGATCATGAAGATTGAGCGGAATTTAAACCCAAGACCTCAAGGATCCGGGACGAGGATGCGGTGCCTAGAAGAATCAATGTCCCGGGAAATGTCCAGAGGCAGGCCTCATAGTCACTTGGGTCGATCTTATCACAGGTCCCGAGCCAGGCGATAGGGCCCGATCGCGGATCAGTGGAGGAGCAGACCTGGAACGATGACGATGCTGTTTTCTAGTTCCGGCACATCGTCTAGGACAGAGAACTACACCTATAAGATAGATTCGTGAACACACTATAAATCCTAAAATCTTGTGCGCAGTCATGGTTCCCTTGAGACGAGAGTCCGCCGATAAGACCCGGTTGGTCTGTTTGCTAGTGGGCGTGAATCTACTCTCAGTCCAATATCTTGAAATTCATATTTCTCTATCTAGGCATAGTACAGAGCCCAGGGTCATCTCGCTGCAGTGAGAAACACTCGTGGTAAAGTATTCAACTCTCTAGCCTATTGCGCCAAAGAGCTCGGTAAATACAGAGAAAAAGGGTAAATATCCCCACGCTAGAGCCGTCACCCACTCCTTTCTCAGCTGTTATAGTATCTCCTATCAAGTCATGCCTTCGAAGGACCTCAGCGCAGTCATGGGTCTGCGGCTTATCTCAACCCCTGTCCCAGTATATACTCGTATTGCGCGTTTTTTAGTCTCGGTCCAGATGTAGAATTGTTCGAATGCATCAGACTCACTTTCTCAGACGTCGAAATCCAGAGTCCGTTCTCTCGCTAGCTTCCAAAATACTCACATCTTTGTTTCTAGTAAACAGTGAACAGCAAAGTCGAAAGCTGGCGCAAATATATATATATATATATAAGACTCCGTGGTATCGAGCCGGACCAAATCCATTTCTTTCGAATCTTTCGATCTAACAAGCCAAGAAAATCCATTCGCACCGAAACTCCACGCAGATAAAAACAAGAAAATTAGGGTGGTGGCTAGCCCCCTTCGGTCATACAACATCGTACTAAGGTCAATTGTCTATCATCATCATCGCCATCATACAGACGTCTCCTTCTTAATCATGTCGTGATACTCCACAGCCACCTCATTCACCTGCAGAATCTGCCCCATAGGAGGCTCAACCTCCCCATTCGCGACATCTCTTGACGCCGCCCTACTATGGCTGCCGCTCCTCCAGAACGACACCTTGTCCGAGCTCACGCGCCGCGACTCGATGACGACAGTACTTTGGCTTTGCATCGTGAAGCTCTCGGCGGTGAACTTCGCCTTCGATATGGGCGATTCCTTTTCGCGAGACTTGCTCTTTTGTCGGAGGAGTGATCGCAGCACTGGGACACTTGCTGCCATCATGGTGATGGCAGACTCGGCCGTGCTCCAGATGATGAGGACGACGCCGTAGTCTGCAAGAGAAAACATTATTGTCAGTTGGACTCGGTCTAAAATTATTCCAATCTCTCTTCGTAGCCGGTGAGGAAACCCACAAATGTCTCCCTCCTTCATCCTTGGGGTCATGGCGACCTTGATGATGGCCGTGATTCCCGCAAAGACACCCATGCTCATGGCAATTATCACGCCAATCTTCTCTTTCTTCCTCATATTGAGAGGCCAAACGAGTTTCCAAGGCAGAAGCGCAAGCACAATGTCCATTGCGCCGGAATATCCTACACACCCAATACCGGTTAGCATAACCATACGATACCATTCCCCCAAGATATCGACCAAGGAAACATGCCCAACTCACCCGTCGAAATCATCAAATAATCCACAATCTTTCCCATAGGATAACAGCTCCCCGGAATCAAAAAATTCCACGACTTTTCAATCGGCGTACACTGGATCCAGATAAACAACGCGCTCAACCCCAGCGCAATGTTCATCGACACGATGATGCACCACACCAGCGCCCACATCCACCCCTGGCTAACCCTAAGCAGCGTCACGGCGAACGACGTCTTGCTCCACGCCGCGGCGAGGATGGCCAGCGTGCCGGATATGTTCATGGGGAGGGGCATCTTGGAGAAGAAGTTTTCGGGCGGGATGTCCCAGATGTGCTTGCCGTAGCCGAGTTGGACTTGGCGGGTTATAATTCCCGTCGAGCCTGTTAGTGCCATCTGTTTGAAAGAACGTTAGTTTCCCACTCTCGCGAATCTTTGCTAGAGGAGTGCGGGATGGGTTTCTTTTTTTCCCTGTGCATACCCATGATGCTATTAATATGTAGTCATCCCACCAGAGAGCTCTGTGTCGCGCAAACTTGCAGTATACCCGCAGCAGAATAAACGAAAGCGATAACGTCACAAAAGTCCACGTCGTCCCCAGCACCGTCGGGCCCAAGTTATCGTGCGGCAGTTTTGCGAGCTCAGCGGGTGACAGCATTGGAGGTAAAGGCGGCGGTACGCCCTCGTCGGGCGTTCGGAACTCCATTTTTTCTTCTCCTCTTCTTGTTGAGAGTACTCGGTGGTGGCAGACTTCCAGCTGCTTTGTCGCGTGTGAGAGGAAACGCTCAAACTGGCTCCGCCAGTAAGGGAAGCGTCAGGAAGGTTCAGCCAGCAGTGCGAAGAATCATTGGCAATTAGACATCAGATTGTGACCTAGGGGCACACGAAGGAATCGTGATGTGCCGCGAAAAGAAGAAAAGAAAGAAAGCTGCTGTACAACCCACACACTGTTTGATGATAATAGCGAGAGAATAAGAGCACAGTCACACGGCACAGGTCCCGGAACGTCCTTTTGTGGGGGAGACTCCTGAAATAACACGGCTATGACGGCTTAATGGGAACACCCATACTTCTTCGAATATTGGCATTGGTCACTACGTGCCTTTGGGGAGCCGGAACCATCGACGTGACATCAAACAAGGAAGATCTTAGATCTGGTCTCTATAATAGCCCGTCGAGAGTTTGTCGACACGGGTATTAGCGAACCCTGTAAGAGGGCACAAGATGAGGCGATCAGACTTTGGGAACAAGTTAATGCAGGGTTCCCAACACCACCCAATGCGGTACGCAGCAGAAGGGGGAAAAAATGGACACTGGGAGCAAGTGTGGTTCGGCTGATGCCGCCAAGACAAATTAACCTCTTTCCATAAGTTTTCTTTATTTTTCCATAACCTCCGCCCGCAATCTACTTGGGATTGAAAACAACCATGGGTTGGTCCCGGCGACTGCCGGAAGATAGGTACGCTGATCGGACGCCGATCACGCTGATGTTATTCCTGCAATAATGGAAAGCCCTCCCGTTTCTAGTCCAGACGATACTGTTTCGTTTCCGTTCAAGAACAAAGAATAATTAAGCCCTTCCCAAATCGGCAAGGCTTTGGATCAATTAAAGTTCAATGGGCAAGGATTCGAGTGTCTCTTGCGGGGAATAATCCCGAAGGGCGGGCTCACCTGTTTCACTTTTGGCCGGGGCCAAGAGGTATTGGCCCAACTGTTTTACGCTACATGCAGATATTAATTGTTCGCTGGTGAAGAAGAGAACATGGAACTCGGTGGATAGTATAAACAACCGAACAAAGTATTATCCGAAAAGACCGTCAACTTCGTCTATCGCTGGTGAATGCAACATGGGAAAGGGACCAATGCTGATAGAAAGCAGTTTATGAAGAGTTCAGCAGAAGGAACCGGGTGCATGGGATTTCGTTCACTCCTGCATCGAATCACCGAGTCAGGCCATCCTCGGATGTGCATACTCGAGGCAGATCGACACCACCGCAGCATTATTGGGCCTTATGATGCAGCGTCCTCAGTGTCTGAGAGATAATCAAACGGATCCGGGACGGGGGCCGGCGCACCGTCGTCGATGTCCACCTCTCCAGGCTTATGACTTGGAGGTAGAGCAGTTACGGCTGGAGCCTTGCCCGGATTCTGAGGGGTATTAGAACGTCCGATGATAGACGTCATAGTCTTTGCCCACTCCCAAGGGCGCTCTTTGCCTCCAGGCAGGCTGTTGAAGTACTCCCAACCCATGACACCGCCGAAACGGGGATACTGGGTCGCAAGGGCCAAAAGAATCGGAGAGAGTCGTTCCCAATCCACGAAACCGCTGCCATTATCAGGGTTCGTAACAAGACCAACAACGATCTTCTCGATCGGCCATCCCTTCGCAAGAATGCATTCGTACATGACGGTGTTCTCGAGGCTTCCCCATCCGCAGTAGAACTGGGCATTGTAAAATGCAATCTCGTGTCCACGCATGACTTCCAACGCCTCGTAATCGAACCCGCTTAGATTCGAGTTCGGGTCGAGGAGAGCAGCAGCTACAGGAGCCAATGAAATAATGAAGTCCGTTCCAAAGTCCTCACGAAGACGATCGATCAGACGGACGATGGCACCGAGCTCCAATTTCTCCTCGACGTCGAGATCCAGACCGTCGAGGCCATGTCGGCGAACGAGATCCCTCAGAGGAACGTAGTACTTCTCGAACGTTTCGTCATCCGAGCCCAGGCGAACGTAAGTCCCCGGAGCTGCGCCGCCTAGCATCCCCATGACCTTGACTCCGCTGGCCTGTAGGAGCCTAAGCTCCGCCCAGAGTGTCTGGAAGCGGGTGTCGTTTGGGGCGTGGTCGTTGAGGGTGATGGCCTGCGGATCGTCGTTGATGTGGATGGCGGCTAGGATTATGTGTGTGACGCTGACGTGGCCATCTCTGACCAGGGGCAGAATAGAAATGTGGTTTCCGCTAGAGTCGTGATGCGTTTGATAGTAGGTAATCACTCGGGGTGAATTGGACACTGGGACTGGAGCCATCTCGAAACGAGAGAAGGATCTGACGGATCCTATCTTAGGGATTGGATAGTCTTGGACCGCAAGCTCAGAAGCTCGCCAATTAATGATGGTAATAAAAATTAAAAATTATGGGCATGCTGTTACTGCCATTCGTCCTTCATCTTGCCGAAGAGAATCGGATGGTCACTTCGTATGCTGGGAGCCGAGACTCGAGAAGTGGATTAGCACATGTGTAACGACGGGATGGGATGGGGATGTCTGGGATGATTTCGTACCTCGTGGCATTTGGTCGAATTGGAGAGTTTCGGGTCCAACTGGGAATGGTAACAGATGATGAGGGGTCAAATCCAGGCACGGCCCAACATTGGAAGCAACTTTATCTTGGTGGGGTAATTTTGATGAACCACTCCACATTCTATGGTCCTGTTTGTGGTTCTTCCTTCTGGAACGCGAAACGAGTCATGTGATCTCGCGTCAAAGTTCTTCTCCTCGTTCTTGCCCTGCGAAATCCACGCACGACTTCGCACTTTACTTCGTACACGTGCTCCAATGCAGGTGGTGACAGCGGTGACTAAGCGCTATTCATCTCTTCCACTGAATTGGTATCATCCAGATTGAATGTGCCGTCTTTAATTGTCCCGCATCTGCGGCTCTGACCTCACATCAAATCCAAATTTTATCTCGTCATTATTCGATCTTCCAACTGTCCAGAGACTCGGGCTCCAAAGATGCCGTGGTCATAATGAGCCAAATCGAGGCAGACAGTTACGAGGTCGTCCTCGTACCGGACGAATCGCAGGAGAGCCAGAACCTGCTGCAGCGATATGTCAGCGAGTTTGGCATCCCTGGTTTTGTGAGCGCCATTGCCCATCCAGCGCCGATCTGATTCGACCCCGGTCTGAGCCACGCCACAACCCAAGGCAACGGCCACGATCGGGCCTGCATACTGAGTACAGGCATTGCTAACTTGTTTGACAGGGTCTGAATTTGCCTAAGGCCCGATATGATGGTAGGAGAGAATACTTGCAGTGAAGAGCTAATTGCCTAGCCTTCACATGGGTGCCTTTGCCTATGTCACAGTATAAAGCTAATCGAGATCAAAGTTCCAGGCCTGAAAGAAGGTGCTGAACCTGTGACAAAGCCAGGCTCTGAGATCACATCTGCAGTGGTAAGTCTTCTCTGCTCATCAAATTGAACTCTGTCACTGTCTTGTGTCTTGCTCTCTACAAGGGAATGGGACATCTTGTGATGGTAATGGTCAAAGACTGACTGTATCTCTGCAAGGAATCATCTCGCGATGTGAAACTGAGATCCTCCCACTTTCCGACCTCGCCAGAACCACAACCGATTTCCATCCCTTCTTCTTCTCCGACGAGTCAACGCGCCGAGACGACAGCCGAGAATCGCGACCAGAATCGACGATCCCATCATCTCGATCCCGATCATGTCCACAACCCCGTCAAATTCCCTGCACCCGCGCGAGCAATAACTCGAATAATGGACATATCAGAGTCCCCCACACAAGCGAACGATGACCGCGACTACGAGACGGAGTGTCATCTACCCCTCGATACGACCGATCCGCTCACGTCTCCTGGCAACCACCATGGCACGAATCAATCGGACGCGGACGAGCTTCGAACCCTCCAAGAGGGCGATACCGGGGCCGTCAACTTTGTGCCCCTCAGCCAAGATGGCAAGGACATGTCTCAAGAGTCTGACATCTTGTCGCCATTCGCCGAGAATCCCATCCTGCAACGGGGCGATTGGCGCGGCCAAAGGGCATCCCAGCGACTGGGAACCACACCCGCCCGTCCCTCGACAATGGCAGCTCCTCCCGAAACCCCCGCTGGTCCCGTCAACCCATTCGGCGCACGACAGCGACCCGCATCCGTCCTACGCGCAACCCAGTTATTCAATGCAACCCAGTTTTCATCGGGAGGCGTGAAGAAGTTTAGTCCGACTTCCTCTCGACCATCCCCCCACGCATTCCACCAGACATTTCCTACCGACACATCCCCGGCTGGACTTTTGACGTCTCCTCTAAAGAACCGTACGACCTCCTCACCATCCATCTTTCGAAAGAGTAGCCCGCCGCGTGTTCAGATTCCTAGTACGTCTTTTGCCGAGCTACCGCCGTCCCGATCGCCTCCCCACCAGTACTCTTCTCGAGACGAGGAAGCCATACCGGAATCGCCGCCGGGCGATCCGGACCCGTCGCCACCTCGGAAGCGCCAGAGACAAGAGCTTCTGGAAGATTACGAACCAGTGGCGGTTTCCCAGCAGCGCAAGTTGATGAGCGACGAACTGAACAAGGTTTCGGACTCGGATTCCGGCGAGGACGATGATCTACGGCGCCGGCGACTTGCGAGACAGAAGCGAGAACAGGCTGAGCGACGACTTAATGATATCTCGTTTGTACCTCCGCCAAGGGACACGGCGACAAATGCCAGATCGCTGAGGAAGCGGAACACGCGTCGAGGCGGGCGGTTGTTCACCAATGAAGCGAACCTCGATGATGAGCGGAACGAGCTGGCTAGCCGGCGACGACCATCATCTGCATCGGGTCAACCTTTCGAAACCCCTTCTAATGTTAGGTTCGCTTCTGTCCCTCCACAGGAGCATAGTTCAATTGACAATCGCCGGAATATGACTTCGCCAGCAGAGGCTCAAGAACAGATCCCCCCGACGAGTTCACCCTTGGTAGCTCAGGCGCCGGACCTTGAACCTTCGGAACGTTCTTCCCCTCCACTCAAACCTCAACCTCCGGAATCTAGCAACACGCCCTCTTCGGTTTCGCTACCTGTCCAATTACCACCATCTTCACAGGTCTCGAAGCGCAAATACGGGTTCCGTCGCGTAGCGGGGAGGACGAGTAGTAAGATGCTGGTTCCCGAGTCACCCATGGTAGTGCCCGAGTCGGATCTTGCCCAGGGACAGGGAGGGGTTCCCATAAGTGGCGGCGAGGGTGATGAGGACGACGATACTGTCTTAGCGCCGGATACTAATTCCAGGGCCACGACTCGAAGCCGGTCACCTGTGCTTGATGATCTTCCTCCCACGCAACCGCCTCCCCCGGCCACCCAGACCGAGACTCGCGAGAGCCGGCAAGAGGAGGATACTGTTGTTGAAGAGCCTGAAGCCGTCCAAACTGTACCCGACTCAGCCCACGGTGCGCCGAAGAAGCCCCCATCACCCCTCAGCAACCTCTCATCGACCCCCTCCCTACCGCATTCCCCGCGCGAGACAACATCATCTACGTCGCGACCAGACCTCTACGATCTGCCCACCTCCTCAGCCGCAGAGCTCCCCCCTCCCAAGAGTGTGCGGGCACCACTCCTGCGAAAGACATACTCCAAAGTCCGCCGCACACTTCGAATGACGAGAACTGCCATCGCATCTTCTCGGCAGCAGCATCACGACAGGTACGACCCGGGATCTACAGATGAACTCGCCAAATCGCCTTCAAGAGGAACATTCAACAGTAGTATGTTGATCTCCAGGACTAGCGTGGGAAGATCCGGACGACTCAGCGACAGCAGCATGAGAGGAAACCAACTCCTCTTTGATAACATGGCGTTTGCCATTTCGTTCCAAGCTAGGCGCGACGACGAGACTGAGGACGAGTACCGCGAGAGGTGCAGCATGAGCGAAGAGCTCTGCGATGTCGTTTCCAGAGCCGGTGGAAAGATCCTCGCCAACGGGTTTAACGAACTTTTGGACCCGGCTACCTTGAAGCAATGGCCTGTGGTTCAATCTAGCGGACATGGAGGGGCGGCGAGCAATGACGAATCCGACTTTACGCTCGAACTTGGACAGCAGGCCAAGGGGCTAGGCTTCACAGCTCTGCTGGCGGATGGACATTCACGAAAGGTCAAGTACATGCAGGCGCTCGCGCTAGGTCTTCCCTGCCTCGCATACCAGTGGGCCACGGCGTGTCTCGAGAAGGGTGAGATCCTCGACTGGTCACCCTACCTCCTCTGCGCGGGCCAATCCGTCTGCGTCGGCAACGCCATCCTCTCGCGGCACCTGGTCCCGTACTCCGCCATCGGCGCGGCGCTCGCGGACGTCGTCTCCCAGCGCACGGAGTTACTCGGTAGCGATCGGATCCTCCTCGTCATGAAGAAGTCGCGGGTGGAGGAGACGAAGATGGCGTATCTACTCCTCGCGCGCATCTTGGGGGCTAGGCTCATACGCGCTTATAATATCCGTGACGCCAGGAATGCTCTTCGGCGGAGCGAGGCGCGCGATCAGAAGTTTGACTGGGTTTACGTTGATGAAGAGACGGGCTCAGTTGAGCAGCTTTTTAGCGCCAAGGCGCCTGAAGAGAAGACGGCTTCGAAGAAGAAGAGGAAGAGGTCGGGCGGTGGTGGGAGTCAGGTGGCGGCGGAGCAGGATGGTCCGGCGCCGGGGAGGGTGCGGTGTCTTAGTAACGAGCTTGTTATACAGAGCTTGATTATGGGGCGGATCATTGATGAGGACGAGAGGGCATTTACTTCTCTTTGAAGAGGATGCCGTCTATAGAGGACTCGAGAGTACGAGGGAGAGTGTTAATTGCTCCACGGTGCTAGATCATACAAGGGAACAGCTTGGGCGTTGACCCATTCGATGTACGATGATAATTCTGGAGCTGGACATTGGCTGGGTGGAATTCCCCCGACAGAATTGGGGGTGGAGACACTGTTAGAAATAGGAAAGGCAATCTTGGACTCGAATTGAGGAGTGATCATGACCGCAGTGCAGAGCGTTCTCTCTTGCATTTGTCTGCGTCCACCGTGCACTTTGCCGCTCTGTATTCTGCTCGGCGCATTCCTCCCTCGTCAAAGATCACTCCTACCGCCCAAACACCAGTGGCGTCAATAGAGCGGCGAGGGTCAATAATTAACACAATTGCAGAATCAAGCATCAACCGGTTCAATAGAGAGTCAATAGAGTCAATGAGAGTCGAGCGAGGAAAGAGCGAGCATATCCACAAAAAAAAAAAAAGCCTGGCAACACTTGACATCAGCTGCCAATTTGCCTCTTAGCGGGATTTGAAATCGAAGCTTCACTAGGAAGGCGCGAAGCATCTCGGCGACCACCAAGAAAAGACTCAGCTCAATCAGAACCTCGATAGATTTCCTGCTCCAGCACTCGAATCAGTTTTTTTTTTTGTTCTCTCCTTTTCAAGTTCCATTATTATTCTTCGTCTTTTTCTTCTGCGTTCTGGTCAGACTTCATCCTTTTCGAGTTTGTATTTCCTAAGCCCCCATTGACTGGGGATTATTATAGCATTACATACGCCCCGACGATGCATTTGCTCAGTCTCCCTCCGGAGATCCTGGAGCATGTCGCCAGCGAGGTAAGTTCGAGATGGAGGCATCCGCAGCCTTACCTTTCCCGGAACAGCGCTCCCTTTTCCCGTCGATATGCGTTGATCCCTCGCTCTTTGCTCTTCGTTCGGGATCTTTGCTGACGCGATTTCGGTGCTCGCCGGCTGAAAAGCTCCCCTGGAGCTCCCTGGCCGCGTTCAGCCAAACCTGCAGAACCACCCATCAGGTCACCGCGAAGCTGATTCTGCGGGACGGATACCTTTGCAGTGCCGATGGATGGCACATTCACGAGGAGTCCCAGCCCGTCAAGGGTTTGAGTTCGCGGCTGCAGAGTGTTAAGCACCTCACTGTAGCCTCCCCGGACCCTCACCTCACCGTTAGTACTACTAATAAGGGACGATGCGTCTCGTGCTTGACGCAGGTCAATGAGACGGCTCAGGGTAGGAGGAGCAATGGCGGGTCTTACAAGGCGAAGCCGTCGTCTACAACTATTGGATGGCAGCTGGACATGTTGAAGCCGAAGACGCTGAAGAGCTTCTCGTAAGTTGGCTTCTCTGGTCGTCGCTCTCGTCGAACCTTGCATTCCAGAACGCATCCCATTTCTCCCTCATTTTCTTCCCATTTCGTCACCATTTTCCCTTACTTTTGATATTCTATTCTCTAACTCGGTCTACCTCTGCAGCTGGCTGCTCGGCGTCTGCCCTCCCCGCTGCGTCTTCCACGAGCTGGCCTTTGACCAACCCACCATCCAAGAGCTCACCCTCATCACCTGCTACCGCCGCTACGGCATCAGATGCCAATGGCGCGACTTCAGACTCGACGTCTTCGAGAACCTCACCCGTCTCTCGTGGACCGGCGTCACCCAGGGCCAGCTCTCAGTCTTGGCCGCCGCTTTCAAAAAGGTTGGCCACCAACTCGTCCATCTGCACCTCGACTTCATCGCGACGAGCACGGGCGTCTACACGGTCAACTTTGGCGACGAGGCCGACGACGATATCGACGCCGATTCCTTGTTCGGACGTCTCATCGTCTCACTCACCGGCGGCAGCAAAACCGGCGTCGTCTTCCCAAGCCTCAAGAGTCTTTCGCTGACCAACACAGTGCTTGGTGGTCCCCGGGCCGAAGCTATGTGCAAGGCCTTCAACACCAAGGGTCTCGAGTCCCTCAAGCTGAAGCACTGCCTCGCCGTCTCCCTGTTCCTCCGCGCCCTCGAAAGGGAGCTCGAGCAAGAATCGACCCCCCCTCCGCTCAAGACCCTCGAACTTCATCTTATCCCCCAGGCTCCCATGGCCGAGGACGTACGCATCGAGCTCTCGACCCTCATGCGCCGCTGGGTCAACCTCGAGGACTTCGCCGAGTACATCGTCACGAAGCCGTCGATCGCCGGAGGCTACGGCCTCGCTTCGAGCGGAGATCTCAGCCGCACCGAGGGACGTTACCCCATGGGCATTCGATGTTGTCGCACTCCGAGCCTGCGGCGGTATGTTTTCCACCCGGGATGGAGGTGGTATTGCAGGGAGGATACGTCGGAGCCTCCGCCTGTTCCTGTACTCGGACCTACTGAGCGTGCGTTTCACTCTGCACCGGTTATGAACCCGCTTTCGCACTTGCGTCTAGAGTTTCTGGGTTATGCCGCTTCGCCGTTGTACATGGTATGTGGGATTTTATTTTTTTTTCTTTTATTATTTATTTTTTATACTTCCCTCCCACCCTTCTCTTCTTGTCTCTGTTACTCTGCCTCTCCTCCTTTTTCTTCGTCTCTTTCTATGCATTGTTTGTGTCTGCCCGTTTGATTCGTCCTGTTTGTTCCGTAGCCACCCACATCTACTGTCGTCGATACTAACCTATCAATTTTCATTTCCTTGCAGAAATTGTTCCTTCAGCATTGTATCCTCACCGAGGCCCTGAGCAATCTCGTTGTCCTCCACGTCCGCCAATACTACGAGAAGAAACCTCGGTTCTACAGCCACGCCTTCGGCAACAACCCCACTGGTCTCCCCAAGATCACCAGCTCCGCCAACGGCAGGAAGGATCCGGCCACTACCTGGGAGGAGACACCCGTCCGCGAGCGCCTCACGCCCCAATGTTACGAATTCCTCACCTGGATCTTCAACAGCACCAAGTTCCCCAAACTGAAGCTCGTAGCGCTCGGAGACTTTGGCGCCATCGAGCCCAACAACCGACTCCTCGTCTGTCGCTCGGACATCCCCATCGACGACCCGCCATTGGCAAAGATTAAATACGAGCCCGTTGCCGTCACTGACCACACGCTTCCCGGCTGGCACGTCGATTATTACAATAAGCCGCGGCGCTCGTGGAGACTTGTCAAGGCCGGCGACCAGGACATTGTTTCGGTCGTGGACGAGTATATTGACTCGCTCGTCGTTGGACCGGATTACTCGAGGCCGTACCTCCGGGATACGGGAGCGACGCTGACTTCGAATGCTTGGAAGAAGAAGTTGGGTCTGGCCTTTGTGAGGGAGTCGGAGCTCATGAGCCGTCGTCCGAAGCGAAAGGTCGCTGCCTAAGCTTTTTCGGATCTCTTGAGGTGGTGTGACAGCCGCGACACCACGCGGTTGAGTGCATTACTGCGTGGTCTCATGGAAACTGAAGGCGAAAGAGGTGTTTATGATGGAGAAAGATGTGATGCTTCTCCTGATGGTCTGCTGCACGTATCGTGCTGTTTCATTTCGATATTCTTTTCCTTTGTTTTCTTTTTTGCTTTTTCGGGCCACTTCCGATTCTTCGAGATGCGGCTGTTGTTACTTTGTACCCATGCATCAGTGTTTTTCCTATTTCTTCCCCCTTCCTTTTTCTTTTCACCCCCTTTTTTTTTTCATGATTCCCCAGGAGTTAATATCCTTTGCTTCTTCTCTGGTTTGATTCCCCAAAGTCACGCATCAATGATGGCGCTCGACATATTCGGTATTTGGAGTTGGAAGGCAAGCAATCAATGGCATGTTACGATTTTCATGAGAGTTTATGTTGATTCTCATCCAACACCGTTTGATACGAGATTTCCTGCAAAGGTTTTATTTAATACAGCTTTTCGAGATTTCACATGTAAAATTGTTGATTAAAATATGGCAGGGGTTAAATTGTGTCCCAGCGTCGTATTCATCGAGCAGGGCTGCAGAGTTTCAATCTGTCTTGAAATGGCTGTTCCCATTTCGGACATTTGCTTCGCAACGTGTGCTGCTTTCTGGAATTGTATAGGCTCTGCTCTTGAGATGAGATTAGATGGGATCTCACATTTTTAAGATGATCACTTAAAATGAGCACGTCTGTTTTCGGCAGCTTCGTGAGACATGGAACAGAACCATTGAACAGGGGGGGCATCTCGCAATGGAAGAAGAAAAGAAAAAGAGAAAAAGGGTGACGAAGCTTCCAAGAAGTTCTCGATGAGCTGAGGTGGACCTGAAATCTGCGCCACGGAACAATTCGTCAATTAAACATCAGCCAGGCTTCCCAGTCGCATCTAGCTCTGGCGATGCTGGGGACGCTATTCCTGATTCTCTGACCGAGGCTCATTTGGAGAGTGCCTGGCGCAGCAGCATGACGTCGCGAGGGGGACCAAATCTGGTAAGATCATGAACACAGCTTTTTCCATAATCTAGTATACGGGGTACCTGTCCTTCGAGGGCCCAAGGCAGTATTAAGGAGTCTAAGATTAGTTTACTTTTCGTCGACCACGAAGCAAGGGAGGAGGCTTTGATGGTCTGGACCCGGGCCCCCTTATTCTTACCTCTTCCACGTATTCTAGACGGAATGGAGAGAACGAATTCAATGGAGACTCCCTTCCAGCCGCTCCCTTCCTTCGCACAAGCCACGGACGGAGCTGACGGAACGAACACGACAGACTTCTTAGCCTCAAAGTTCCCCCCTCTTTTCCTGCCTCGGCTGGGTTGCCCTTTCTGCACCTCCGACTCGTCAGGTTGTTGGCCAAGACACCAAGTAACTGTACCGAGTTGGATTCGTGGCGATCTGGCAAAAAAAGGATGTTGAAACAAGGCAAGTTAGCTCCCAGGGGCCATCTCTGATTCGTGAATCCCGTCGTTCCCCTTTAGAAAAGGACTCCGCAACCCGATCCGACGCTCCCGAACACTACACGACGGGACACTCCACTCCCCCGATACTGCGCCTAATCTTACGAAGGGAGAAGAGCAAAAAAGAAAAGGGCAGGCCACCTAATGTGAAAGGGGGCTCCCTCTCGTGTGACTCGTGTGACCAGATCCTATATTAGGTCAAGGCCACGCAAATTTCTGTGGGAGGGTGTAGGGCTGCAGGAACTTGCGCTTTTTCATTCCCACTCTCCTCTTGATTTTCATCAGAAAAGAGCACGAGACCATTTCTTCCTCTATTTTACTCTCGATTTTTATTTTTATTTTCGAATAATTATTGTAGGGATCAATTGGGTACAATTGTCGTAGATTCCTGGTTGGGTGGATGGTTGGACTCCCAAGGCTCTTTGGCATTTTCCAATCTGGCAGTCTCGACCCGACTTTTTTCTTTCCCCATAATTTAATTTTGTGACGATCGCGACGACGAGCCTCGACGTCATCACATCAACATCAACAACGACCCGAATCTCTTCTCACTGGGCAACGCAACCCTCGGAACCATCACCTTTCGCGAGAAACCCATCGATCCATCGATCATCAGCTACGATGCTGTCCTCGCTGAACCCCGTTCCCACCTTTCCCCAATACACCGGCCCATACAAGGTCGGCACCGTCGACGTCGAGATCCCCGTCTCCGAGCTCCCATCACCTAGCCCTCGCCCCGACAACGCAGAGCACATCCTGACGGTACAGTTTCGCATCTTCTACCCTGCGTCGCTCGACTCCAAGGGCCTCAATGGCGGCGACAGGGTGACGTGGCTGCCCATGCCGCAGAGGCAGCATATTTCGAGCTACACCAAGTTCGTCGGCGCCGGTCCCCTTCTGGCTGAAGTCCTCTCGTGAGTTCCTCCTTTCCTCTCTCCCCCTTTCAATTGGCCATGGGCCACAGGAGACAAACTAACCAACGGAATCTCTCTCGCCCAGATACTTCCCGCGACACCTCCACTACACCTCCATCCCCGTCCACAAAAACGCCGACATCCACCCCGCAAACACCCCCAACGGCCGCTGGCCCACAATCCTCTTCTCCCACGGCCTTGGTGGCTCCCGCAACGCCTACTCCCACGTAGCCGGCTCCCTCGCCTCCCACGGCGCCGTCGTCATCTGCCCCGAGCACCGCGACGGCAGCGCCGTGACCTCCTTCATCCGCAACCCCGAAAAACACCGCCAGCTCCAAGAGAAGAAACGCAAGGGCGGCGAGCGAGGTTTCTTCTTGCGTGGCAGCAGCGTCGGCGCTAGGAACGTCGTCGTGCCGTATAGACGCATCTCGCATACCGTTTCGCCTGAGATGTATGCCGCGAGGGAGGAGCAGCTGCGTATTCGGACGTGGGAGATGGGGTTGGTGCATGAGGCTGTGCTGGCTATTGATAGGGGCGAGCGGGGGCTGACGAACTTGAATTCTTCGACGCCGAGTTTGGAGCCGTTTGTGGGTATGATGCATGTGCATGAGCCGGGGAGCATTGTTTTTGCGGGGCATAGTTTCGGGAGCGCCACGACGGTGCAGTTGCTCAAGTCGACGTATTACGCGGATCACCCTGCTCTGAGCACCATGAAGAAGGCGCCGTTATTCACACCGGCTGAAGGGTCCGAGATCAGGAGGCAGATTACTGAGAGGACGGTTACGATCCTCCTAGACACTTGGGTGACGCCGCTCATCGACCCCGGCTTCGCGCCGCTGTTCGATCTGCCTCTCCCCGCGTACGCCGACACGCCCAACGCCGCAGGAGGCAAGGCCATCCTCTCCGTGCTCTCGGACCAGTTCTATAAGTGGCACGAGCACCTCCGCGTAACGGCGCGCGTGCTCTCCCCCTCACCCGCACACGAAATCCCCACCCCCTCGCTCTACAAGCGCTCGGATCCATCCCTCCCCGACTTCCCAGAGCCGAATCTGTTCTACGTTCGCGAATCGGCGCATCTTAGCCAGTCGGACTTCGGCATCCTCTTCCCCTGGTTGACCAAGAAGATGTTTAGCGCCGTGGAGCCCGAGAGGGCGATTCGGTTGAACTTGAGGGCGCAACTGCAGGTCCTCAGGGAGAATGGGATTCCTATCGCTAGGACTTGCGCGGCTGATTTGGTGGACGGCGTTGTCGATGGCGATGAGGTCTTTGAAGAGGTGAGGAAGGGGAATGGGCATGGCGATTCCAATGATGATAGGGCGATCCTAGATAAGTCGGGAGACGTCCACGTTGGGCACTGGGTGCGGATTGATATCGTGGCCTTGTTCACCGGCAGTGACTCCGAGAGCGAGTCGTTGCATGCTAAGGAGAGTAGTGATATGAATAAGGAGAGGGTTGAGCAGAGTGACGAGGCTATGGCGCAGCATCTTGAGCCTGGGCTTGAAGGAACCGCTGTCGTCTCTGCGACGGCTTGAGTGGGCGGTTTGAAGGCACGAAGAGAGCAAGAAATGTGAACACGAAAACGGAATGGAGTTAAGACATGGGAAACAAGATTATAGAATGGGCGGGGATATCATCATCAGTATAGATTAGGCATCAATTGGAGTTCTTGTATTTTTACTACCAGAGGATGGAGAAAAGAGCCTGCCTTCTAGGTTCTTCAAAATACACCCCCCTCCACAGGCAGATTTACAACTGAGGCACGCCAATTATCTATTCGTCCTCTGGGAGACTGGGTCCAATCGACAGACTCTCCCGGGCATGGCTTGCCGAATGTAATGGGACCCTTGTTTTTATTGTCCTTTGCTTGGGAGTCCCTGCGGCTCAGCATCATCCGCCTCGTCCGTCGCGTGCTCAAACGGGCACAGCTCCCCATGTCCAGATTTATACGCGTGAGGTCACTAAAACAAGACTTATTAAACTGCCGAAACGACCCAATCAGTGCTTCCTGTCAAAAAGGTTCGACAGGCGTGCCGGAGGGGAGCGGGGTCCGACATCCCAAAAATTTCGCCGACTCCGAAGCGGGGCACGGAGATCAAGGGACCTCGGTTCAACCGTAGAGGAGCCTTAACTTTTGATCTCCTCTGGCGGCTTACGCCAATCGTACATGACTGCATTAGGGAGGCGCTAAGTTTATTTCAGCGAGAGTAGTTGGCAAGGGCTCCTGGAGATCGGGATGTTTCCGAGCATCGTGGCAACGTGGTTTTAACGCCAGAGAGGTCAAGATGTAAAGCTCTACACGTATTTATAACGCCAGCGGCCATACGTCGAAATTCAAATGTATTCTTCAATGGTCTGGTGAAAGCAGATCACCTCCCCCTCTCCATTGCCTTACGTCTTCCGGAATGGCGACTGTATTCACGATTAGCGACAAGGTCCGGCTCTTACTCCGCCTTACTTGCCTTAGTACGTCCTCATCTTCGGGCAAAGAAAAACAAAATGAACAAACACGTTCCGATCAAAAGACTCCCAATGCTAACTTAATGCTCGTATCTAGCGCCCTGGCAGGTCGCTGCGATGGTGTTGCGGTCATTATTGATCACACGGTTACGGGGTCTCCCAACACGACAATATCTTGTATGTGCTTGGATTAGGGTCGTCCTCGGAACCTTTTCCCCTCAACAGATCCAATTCTTATCGCCTCCGACTCGAGTCGTTTACGAAAACTGGATACAGCGGAAACTCTCTCAAGCGCAAAATGACAAAAACCTCGAAGCCATTACGAGACTGCAATACAACGTCGAACCATTAGAGGACAGTGATAGCTCACTTCTCTGGGTGGGGCACCGTAAGAGGGCGAAAAAGGTCGTCCTGTTCTTCCATGGAGGGGGCTACATCTCGCCCATGTTACCAGGACATCTCGAGTGGTGTTGGAGAGCGTACGTGGAAGCCGGGCTGGAGGTGGGCACCGAAGTCGCGGTTGCAGTGCTCGAGTACACGCTTTGTCCCGGTGCCAGATTCCCAGTGCAGCTTCAGCAAGCCGTGAGTGGCCTTTCGCGTCTCCTGTCATCCGGGTTCCACGAGCACGATATCATTATCGGGGGAGATTCGGCGGGAGGGAACTTAACTGCGCAGATGCTCAGTCATCTGGCCCAGCCATATTCCACGGTTAGGAAAATTGAGCTTTCTCAGCCCCTGGCTGGGGCTTTCCTCGTCTCTCCGTGGCTCAGCCGGCACACCACCGGTGGCTCGTTCACTGATAACCGCCGAATCGACATGCTTTCGGGACCAATCGTTGACAAGTCTACGAAAGAGCTGTTGGGCTATAAAGTCACGGACCAGGAACGGCGAATATCAGCCAAACTTGCATTTCCGTTAGATATGGACGGATCCCCGTCGACCCTGGGTGGCTTGGCCGATGTTGCCGATCAACTCTACGTCACGGCGGGGAGCCACGAAGTCCTCCGAGACCAGGCAGTGAGCTACGTCCACCAGGTGAAACACTTGAACCCGCGTTTGGTGGTGAAGTTCGACCTTTTTGAGGGCCAAGCGCATGACTTTATCCTCCTTGAGGGGCAAGAGGAACGCAATGGGGAGTCTATTGAGGGTATGAAGACATGGGTGAAGGATGTTCTGGCTGCATGTACGAGCAACGAAAGGGACGAAGAATATTGATTGTAGCTGCCATCCGAATTAGACAAAGCAAAGCATTAATAGGTTTCTGCAGCAGCATCAATGATAACGCAGCGTAATCTCTTTGATACCGATGAAAATGACAATCCAGATAATCCATCTTCAGAAATTCCATAATTTCGAGATTGTAAACCTTGACGGGGTTTTAAACGTTCCTTCAAGAGATCATTGCCACCGCCAGAGATGTCCTAGATCAAGTGGTAAAGGGGTATATCTTCTATCATTTTGTACTTGAAAATACCTATCTAGTACTTGTCATAAGACATGTCAGGTAGTGGATCGGATCTCTCAAACTCACCCTTAAACCCTCCCCTCTTAGAAAGGTTTAAGTGTGCTGGAAATCTCGGGAATATTTCCCAATTTGACGTACGGCTTCCCCAGACTCTGGGCACTCCGGCTCCGGCTCCGGTCCAGTTAGTGGGCTTCCCCCGCACAAAGCCAAGTCTGCAGTTGTCTGGGGTAACCCGATGCTACACTGCACCTGTATGAGTGGCGAGAGGAAATCCTCCTGCTTGGGTACTCTAATTCTCTCTACTTCTCAGTCACTGGTTCATATCCTGGCGGTGGGACCCATCCCATGCACTCTGCTCGATCCACAAATTCGGTCCCCTTGACTGGATTTTTTAACGCAATTCTCTCCGCCCCGTAACCTTGTCCTTGTTTTGCATTCTCTGCGATGAGATCCGAGCGCTCGCGGCGTCGCAAGGTAACTCTGGCCTGTGAGCCTTGCAGACATCGCAAGTCTCGGTGCGATGGGGGGAAACCAATCTGCTCCGGATGCCAACGTCGATCACTTGGTCTGGAGCAGTGTATCTATAAGGCGGACAATGCGCGAACAGCATGCGGCGAAGAGTAAAAAATCCCCTCAGTTATCCACACTTCATCTAATTACCTCATTTATCCCGCTCACTAAGTTGTCCTGTATAGCTACACACGATCTCTGCATGAGCGCATACGGCAACTCGAACAGGCGTGCGCCTCCCAACAGAGGGTTGCATCGGAGGTTTTGCCGCCACAGCGTCAAGATAGCACTTCCGAAGGATGTCTTCCAGGCCAAACATCCATTACCAGTCCTTCGGCCACCTTGGTCTCAGATATCGGCCAGCGTGGCCAGACTAACACGCCGTCAGCCACTTCTCAAGATACCCACGAGACCTGCAGCGGGGTCACTGCAATGGGCACAATGGTCTCGGAAGATGTTCTCACCGCTTCACCTCGGGGGCACCGGGAATTTTACGGCAGCTCGTCTGCTGTGTCCTTCCTCAAAGAGGCATGTGGGCCTATAAGCTCGGCATCCCCATCAAACATGAACGGAGCTCGGCAGGAGGAAGTCCAGGCTCGCCAGACGAGGGACATCTTAGCGGCGTATTCGAACCCGGAAAAATTCCACCTTCCACCGAGGCCAGTAGCAGACCACTTCGTACAGAGGTATTTCGAGCGTGTTTACTACTTGTATCCGTTCTTTGACCGCGAGGCCTTCGAGGCAGAATACCAGCGCCTATGGCAGCCGGGAAGCCCAACGGACAACAGCGGTGCTAGCGTCGAACCAAACCTCGGGATAGGCGGTCATCCAGACGGTGACATCAGCACAGGCGTTTTTCAGTCCTCCCTTAACGCCATTTTCGCTCTAGGATGTACCTATTCAGACCTCCCCGCAGCGGAGAAGCCAGCGGCAGTTGAGGCATTTCTAAACCGCTCTAAAGACCACATCGGAATAGACCTTTTGGACACGAACAATATCGGTGTCGTGCAGGCCCTCCTCCTCGTGGCTCTTGCACTTCAGGGAATGCCGCATCCTCATAGATGCTGGAATTCCGTTGGTGTTGCTTGTCGCGTGGCTCAGGGGCTCGGACTTCACATCGAGGCGAGCTACCATCAATGCGAGCCACGGGAGAAACGGGTCCGCCGGCAAACTTGGTATGGTTGTATAGTTATGGAAATGTAAGTGACTCTTGTGGTACTTCCATCTCTCTCTCTCTCTCTCTCTCTCTCTCTCTCTATCTTTCACTTGAGGCCATGTTCTAAATTCTCTCTTCTGACAAACAAACAGGCTCGTCAGTATGACCTTTGGCCGCCCGTATATGGCTCTAAATATGCCTACCTTCCCGCCAACGGGGATTGTTAACGATATTTCATCCCTACCGAATTCGGAGCAGGAGCATCAGAAGTTTCAGTTTCATGAAGAGAGTGTTCGCCTCAGCAAGATCCTGGAAGGGATCCTCTCTAAGATTTACCAGCCCTGGCTTCATCGGAATCCAACCGGAGAGCCGACGGCGACACCCGTGTTAGACATAGCTGCCCACTACAGCTTGGATGATACGGTGGAGCTTCACGCGCAGCTGGATGGATTTGAACGTTCCGTCCGGGCCCCACTATCGTGGAGCTCTCTGAGGGACCAAGATGTACAGGCTAGGGATTACATTATTCTTCAGACACAGCGGAATGTGCTTCATGCTAGGTCAGTATTGTGTTGTACTCCAAAAGAATGGATTGTACGAAGGAGGAGTCATGTTGTCGTGTTAACAGCCTAAAGCAGGTTCTTATATTTGCGTTTGATGCTCCACCGGCCCATCCTCAGCCGTTTGGTAACCAAGATGGGTGCTTTCGAGGCTCTGGACTCAACTCGCATCAATACTCTCACCGACGAGCTGACGTCTTCATTCGAACTCGAATGCGGGAAAGTCTGTGTTGAAGCTGCCATTAAACTCTCCGCTTTAATATTCGCCACCCATCAGACGGAAACTGCTGATATGTGGTGGTGGAATGGTCTATGTAAGAAGCACCTTGATCCACTTCCTGTTTCCCTACGTTTTTTTTTCATCTAATCTTAAGATACACAGATGCATGCACTACTGGTCTCGTTCTCATAGTGGCGCGTTTATGCTGTCCTTCATGGGATTCCTTGGCTCAGACCGACGTAGAAACTGCATGGGAGCAATGTCAAACTATACTCCGGAATCTAGCGGCATTCAGTCCTTTGAGTCGCAAGTCCATAGACCTCTTGATCAAGGTCGATAACATTGTTCTGGCTACACAAACTGGTATTTATCCCCTTTCCCTGTTAGATGACGACTCACTAGATGCTAAATCATTTTCATAACCACATAGCTAGGAATCGTGGTCCGGTTGAGCAGCCCGAGCAAGGGGTGAACGGTGACGGGCCAGGCGTTGTCGTAGCGGAGGACCGCGGAGTTGCATGTGGGGATATTGACCCTACACTTGCTGTTAGTTTCGATATACAAGACGCTGGACAGTTCGGATTCCCGGGGTCCTTTCTTGCGTGGGATCAAACATTGGATTTCATGCCTCCTGATTTCTATTAGATCGACTAGGCATAAAACTATGCGTATAATTACAGGCGCATACACCCTCAAAAAGAAAGATACCCCAGCCGAGGCAATGCTATATACAACAATCTCTATTGGTAGACGGATCGTCATGCGTATAGTTGTCCCTGCGAGTGCTTGTTCAGCAGCCTCAAGCCATTCCGCCGCAGCACTTCAGGAGCAATTTGGGAACCTCGCGCATTTGTAGCAACATATTTCGCGTACGAAGCGACAATAGCATCGATTCCAAATTGGGGAACATAAGGGAAATCAGATCCGAATAAGATGTGATCTGCGTTCGCAAAATCCAACAGCCCATCCAGCTGAGCAGCGGTCGTGCTTAGTGCAATGTCGTAGTAAAATCGCGCAAAGTCTTTCTTCGCTTGCAAGATGTTGACGTTGGCGAGGCCTGCGATGTCGGGGATTCCAAGGGCGTTGATTGCACGGCCGCCGATGAACGGAACTGTACCTCCGGCGTGAGAAAGGATAATGTCGATGTTGGGGTTGGCGCGAATCGTGCCTGTCATTACCAAGTCTACAGCCGCACGTGTCGTCGCGAGGGGGTAGTCCACGATGGGCTGTGGGATCCCAGGGCCGATGAAATGAGGAACCACGTCGAGCACGGAAGGGTGGAGGAATACGAGCGCCTCGTGCTTGTTCAGCATGGCCCATATCGGTGCGAACTGAGGATGTCCGAGAAGCTTGCCGCCATAGCTGGTGAAGATTGTTACTCCGACACAGAGTTGCTGCTCTTCGTATAGATACTGAATCTCGGCGAGAGTGCCGTTGACGTCCTCGAAATCAGGCAAGACGCCGAAGAAACCGATTCTTCCACGGTATCGGTCGCTTTGGGCGTACTTTCCAAGCTGTTGGTTGAGGGTACGCGCGAGCGTCCGGGCCTTTTCCCCGGTGCCCGCGATTCCGACACCCGGTGACGAGACGGAGAGGATGCCTATGTTTCCACTCTTAGTTGGTATATCTTTGTTTTGGGGGGAGTGGAGGGTTGGGGTTGGGGTTGGGGTTGTCTGTCATATTCAGCAGTACAGTATCTTAAAACGTAAACGTACCAATGGAGGTTCCAATAGCGTCCATGGACTTGACAGAAGCCTCAAGACTCCAAATTGGAGTAGGATACCCAGAGGGATCTCCTCCAGCCTCTTCAAGGGTATCGACATATGGCGGAGGGAGGGCATGAAAGTGCGTGTCGATTCTACCGGTGGTGAACAGCGCAGACCCGAAGGCTACGAGCCCGCACGCAAAAGGCTCTAACTTCATGCCGAAAAATAACAAAAATGGGATAATTCCAGCTATGTAGAAAAGCAAAGAGACGCTGACACGCATGATTCTCCAATCTCGTCTTCCCTTCCGGTGGGCGAAATGGATTATAAGGGTGGATTTCTGATTTCTTGGTTGATATTTCTTCTATTCGATTAATTTCCCTTTCCTCAGTCGCTCCACGCCAAGCATCGTACTGCTTGCTGCATCTCATGTCGTCTTGGCTACCATCCATTATCTTAATATCATCTTAGATTAGTAGCTTTACTAGGGTTAATATTGGGATTGACTTTTTTGATGGATGTCGGTGTGACATCACGCAAGTGCTCCGTAATGCGTAGTGCTTGGGCTATCTTTCTCGGCATCGTCCCGCCCTAAGCCAGATATCCTAGTATCCTAATCTAGCGTCCTAGCGTCGGAATGGTTCCGATCGCCACCCCCTCTTGTTCCTCTTGTCCCCGTGGTGCCTCGGATCAGTCCCGGAGATGTCCACAACGCCATTATCAAAATTCAAGGAGCATGAATTGCAGGGGCCTCGCACTTCACTCTCATTCCGGGCAGAGCGTATAACGGTTGCTCTAATCGCTCATCTCCGAGTGAATCTAATAGAGACGTATGAGTCACGCAATCTCTTCTGGCTGCAGGCATATGTGAATGGCGATTCTTCCCGTGGTACTATTTTCTCCCTCGTCCATCAGACTCGCAGGCTTCGCCAGCATTCGCTTCGACAAGGCAAGGACACTGTAGACCACACCATTACAACCTAGTCCTTTAAGCACCTGCACAAGATCTCGGCATACCCAACACCTAGATTTAGCGAAATTTACTATCAGACCAGACAACGATGAGGCCAGCCCCGGCGCTGACAGATCCGACAACGAGGACGCTGGTTTCGAGTACGTCAAGGCCAACACGATCCCGAACTGGCACGCATGCGACCCCGACCAGATGCTTCAGCTCGAGGACGGCGGTGTCGTCGTCGACGCTAGGCTGAGGGTGTACGGGATCGACAACCTTGGCGTTACCGACCGCAGCACCCCGCTGCCATATGTTAACATTCTCGGATCGGTGCACATGATTGCGGAGAATGGTGCAGAACTGATCAGGGAGGATTACGATGGAGGTTGATGTATATGCGCGAGCCTTTAATTCATCTGTGGCCTCGAATCATTGCGATCTGTCTTCTTGCATCGTCAAGCGATATGAACTGAATCAAATGGCAGAATAAAACGGATGGCGATTTCCCTCGTCCGAAGTACCTTCGTACATGCCTCGTGATCGTGCTGAGGGGGAAAGAGCATCGGACTTCGGAGACGAATCACAAATCATGAGAGTGCGAGAACGGGAGGGGTATCGAATATCGATATTAACCTGCGATCAACCGAACGTGTGCACTTCCATGATTCCATCCATCCACCATTTGCTTGCTTGCTGCATCCTGGTTCCTCGTCAATCGTCATTCGCCTCGACACTCTCGCCCACAACGCCTGCTCTCGAGAAGCCCTAGGAGTTTGTTATCTCGAGGAAGGGAATCCTAGCCGTCGGTGCCCAAATATCCGAGACCAGGATTAATCATCCCCTCGTTTTCTTCAGTCCAGTTACTCCCACGAGTCCTGCGATGGCAGCGGATAAGGGAAAAAGAGCGGCATCCTCCACCGCCCCGCGGCCGTGGCCTCCTTCCGTCATCAGTATCTCCCCCGATTCTGACGAGGGTGGCGATTGGCATATGACTATGGAAAGTCAGCCTAGCCCAAGTATTCCCCATGGCTGGACAACACATGTCTCCACGACTCGTCAAGCGCACGAGTGGCCCTTGAATTCGACCGCCATGAGGAATGACAACTCGGCTGCTGCAGCGAGTCGGTTCGGCAAGAAGCCTGAAATTTCGTATGGGTCATCCTTGGGCGCCGGCAATGTGAGTGTGAGCAATGATAACTTCGGTGAATTGCCGAACCGGATCAAAATCAAGTCTGAATCTCCACCACCCCACGACAAAGGTATTGGCAATTTTAGGACTTCGGGGACCCCTGAAGAGCAACCTCAACCTCAGCCTCGACCTCAAATCGACACATCCGACACGCCGATTCTCTGCAAGGAGCAGCAGGACATTCTCGACCTTATAGCTAGTGGTCGGAACGTCTTTTATACCGGTTCGGCCGGTTGCGGAAAGTCCACCGTCCTCACAGCCGCCGTCAAAATGCTGCGGGAGCAAGGCAAGAGAGTGTACGTTGTCGCCCCCACCGGCCGCGCGGCGCTCCAAGTCGGCGGGATGTCAACATGGACTTACATGGGGTGGACGCCCGACTTTCACAAGTTGCCCATCCACGAACTTAGAAGTAAAGGGTTCCGCAAGCACATCAAAAAGCGCTGGAGGGACACGGACGTGCTCATCATCGACGAAATCAGTATGGTAGAGAATCATCACTTAGAACGCATGAATGAGTGCCTGAAGGCCGTCCGACAATGGCGTGAATGGAGAAGCGAGGAAAATGATGATTTCTCTCGCGCCGATGCTTTCGGGGGATTGCAGATTATCCTAACTGGAGACTTTTGTCAACTACCTCCAGTCAAGCCGTTCGAGTTCTGCATGACGTGCGGGCTGGGGATGCATCCTGTCGAAGATGGAGTTGGAGACCGTGTGGAAATGGTTGATTGCCCCAATGGCCATGGCCCATTTCTGGACACGGATAAATGGGCTTTTAAGAGCGCCGCCTGGGAGGAGGCCGACTTGGTCCACGTCCACCTCAAAGAAATCCACCGTCAAAACGACGAGTACTTCATCGGCATGCTTCAAAAGTGCCGCCTGGGCATACCCTTCTCGCCGAGTGAGACTGCGTCTCTGATGGAGCACCCGTGCAATGTGCAACGGGCCACAAAGCTTCTCTGCACACGACGGGAGGTAGCTGAAGTCAACCGGGAAAACTTTGCGCGTATGAAGACCCCGATACACGAATATAATGCCCTAGATGGCTTCAAGTGGAATGCAGAGAAACACCCGCACCTTTTCTACTTCCACGACCGCCGCAGTGATGGGACGTTGGCGGCATGTAAAGACCAACGGTTAGAACCGCAAGTTAGGCTTCGAGGGGGGATGCTCGTCGTGCTCCAGGTAAACCTCAGTCTGTCGTCAGGATTGGTGAATGGGAGCCAGGGGATCATCTGCGGGTTCGAGCAGTTTGACCCCGAAAAGCTCCAGACGATCACCGGCGAACATGCAGAACTCAAGGAGCAGCAAATCAAACACTTCATGGAAATGCAGCGGAGAAATCCGCGGTCAGCCAACGCTTGGCCCCGAGTGCTCTTTCACAACGGCGTGAAACGAACTATCTACGCCACATGCCTGGTCAACTCCGTTGGGGATGGCGAGCCGTATTCTCTCCTCCACCGGACCCAGATCCCTCTCGTGCCTGGCTGGGCCATGAGTGTGCATAAAAGCCAAGGCATGACTCTGGACCGCGTCATTGTCAACTTGTCTCATGCCTTTGAAGAGGGCCAGGTGTACGTCGCCCTATCACGGGCGACGAGTCTCAACGGCCTTAAAATCGAGGGTGGCTCCGGCGGTTTACAGACAATGGGGGGGAATGGTGATGTGCAAGCGTTTTTGAGAGCCAAGTTTGGGGATGGTCTTTTCAAATTGGTGGACCGAACCCTTCAATGCCCGCCGGCTAAGACTTAAGTCACTGAACTTACAAGCTTACAAGGTGAAGGCACCAGGGGAGGATAGGACGGCTCAGGGTTCAACTGCTGTGGTCACAGCTCTGCTCGCCAAAAAAGTTCACCATCTACCTAAGGAACAAATTGAAGTAATACGATCGCACGATTACAACCCGCACGCAGCAGTACACTTTTTTTTTTTCTTTTTTTTTTCTTTTCTTTTCTGAAAGGACCTTCTCCCTAGGCGGCGGAATGTTCGTCTAAAACTGCAAGTCGGCGAGATTGCGAATGACGTCCGGAAAGTCATCCCTCGAAGGTGGGAGTCTGACCCGGCTCGGGTTTTCCCATTGGTGGTGGGCTAAGTCGACCCAATCCACCACCTCATCCGCCCCGCCACCACGGCCATCCTCGCTTTCCGGTAGACGAATTCCCTGGGGTACATGAAAGTAATCGAGCGGGTCCCAAATCTGCTTCACCTCTTGTAGTTTAGGGTAGTTGGACCCGTAATACGCCGCCGCGTAGTCTCTCATGGCCACGTCGGTGAAGTTGACATATGCCGCTCTGTCGGCTATGGACAAGGGCCGTAACCCGGCTTTGAAGGCGTCGAGGAACTCCCGCACCCTGCGCGAAAGCCACTTGTCGCTCCACCGGATCATGATGTAGGCAAAATAGGTGCCCTGACGCCAAGGAAATGCGGTATCGTGGCCCCCGACGCGCGAGGCCGCGCCTCCGGCGTGCACAAACGCGACCTCGAGGCTAGCCGTGTCCTGACTGAAGACGCGATGGAAGGCGTCCATGTGAGCCCTGACGATGTCGGTGGCGGTATCTGTGATGCGTGCCTGTCTCTCGAAGATGAAGGAGGTGTAGACGCTATACGCCTTGTTGGTCGGCAGGGCCCTGAGCGTCTCCTCCCACCACTGCAGAGCCAGCGACTCGTGGAGAAGCAGCGTCGAAGGCTCGGTGAGGGTTCGTTCCTTGATCAGGTGGACCAGATTATGCGGGTCATGGTCCGCTGATGGCTCTCCCTGAGGTAGCGCTTCTTCCTCTGGGTGGGGATTGTGTTCGCCTTGGTGACGGTGGCGCGGACGAGGCGGCGGTATCCCGATCGCGCGGTCGACCAGTCGGTCAAAGTCGGGTTTGTCTCCGTCAAAATAGACGACAAAACGGACCGACGAGCTCGGGTTGCCAGGGCTAGCTTCGCACTGCCAGTGCGTGTCAATCGTGGCGGCGTCAGGCCACTCGAAGCGGTAGATCTTCTTCATGGTGTCGACAAATGGCTTGTCCAGCTCCGAATTATAGGTAAATCCTCCGGTTACGACGTGCTTTCGCACGCGCGGCACCCTCATCTTAAGCTCAACGACGACCCCGAAGCTTCCGCAACCACCGCCGCGGAGCGCCCAAAATAGCTTTCCCTCGTCAGAGTCCTCGTCGTCCTGCTCGCCAACCGTGACGAGCGCTCCATCGGCCGTGACGATCTTCGCCTCGGTCAGGGAGTCGCACCCCATGCCGATCTCGCGCGTGAAAGGGCCGAGACCGCCTCCCAAGACGAAGCCGCTGACCCCAACCGTCGGGCATCGCCCCCCACTGACCATGTAGCCGTCATGACGCCCGGCGACTAGCGCCTTGTACACATGGCCCCACTGCGCGCCGCCCGCGAGCGTGACCGCCTCGAGCTCGTCGGTTTCGGGGTTGCTATGGAGGCGCACGTCCTGCATGCGGGAGAGGTCGAGAAGGATGCCTCGGTCGGTGGAGGAGAATCCGGCGAACGAGTGGCCGCCGTTCTTGACGGTGATTCGGAGCCCACGCGACACGGCCGTCTTCACCACGGTCTGGACATGCGCAGGGCTCTCGGGTTGTATGACAAGATACGGCCGCGAGAAGCGGTATAGGAGGTTCCACGTCGCGACCGACTTTTCGTACTCTTGGCCCCCGGGCAGGAAGCACGGGATGGGCGAGGTGAAAACCTTGGCCATCTCATCCGCTTGCTTCGTCTCCGCCTCGATTTGGGCATCCGAGCCCGAGCCGTTTTGCGCCATGATGAGAACGTGGTAAAAAAAAAAATAAATAAATAAATAAAAAAAAAATAAAAAATAAAAATAAAAAAAAATTTATCAAGATACAAAAATGTTTGCTCGGGTGGGCTACTTGGCTCCAAAAGGAAAAGAACAGACTGCTTTTTGGGGAGGGAGAGAATGCGCAGGCTAAGACATGCCTAGACTTCATATACATAATACAGCCATCAATGGAACTTACGCTCGGCCTCCCTGAATGTTGGGCCGCGCCGAGACTACACTCGAAGGTGCATACTAGGTGGGATGGCAGCTTGCCTGATGAACAGCTATCTCGAAGAAAAAAGTTTTACTTGACTCATTGGCAAGTAGGAGAGTGCTAGACCACTCGTTCGTCTGTTGGAAAATTTTCTCTGGGGTGTAGGAAGACGTAGAAGCGAGGCGGGCTGTAGGTGTTGTGTAGGCCATGCTGCTGCCTTAATGCCAGGGTAGTGAGACAGACGTGCCGGACCAGCTGGGTGGATGGGATGCCAGTCCAGTTAGATGGGTGGAATGACAGCCCAGTTAGATGGATGGATGCGAGTTCTTGGAGCCTGAAAGCATTGCTGCCCTACAGCATCATGCATGTTTCTCATAGGGCCTCCTGTCATTCCCGGTGCCAACTACCAGTCTCCCGGAGGCGACTACGGATTTCTATAGGCAACCGACAGCCAAGTACATGGAACAGCCCATGAAGAATTGCGTGCTGCGGCTGAACCATTCTCTGCCTTTTACACATACGAAGTACGCAACGCAACGCAATGCCACACCGAGGGTCCTAAAAAAAAATTGATCCAGGTTTGATCCAGGTTTGACCCAGCTTGCCTCGTCTTGGATATCTTGACATTTTGTTATTTTGGGCTACCGATACGATACTCGGTCTGACGAGCTGTTGTTAAAAACGGTTGACCTCCCGCAAGTGCATGCGTACTCGAGAATCCGGGACACTATGCACCCCCTATTTCGGCATGCGATTCATCACGTACCATGCATCCCTTCTTCCCTTTATTATTCGTCCTCTTGGGGGTAGAGGCTGCGGTCTCTAATTCGTCAACGGCCCTAGTGGAGATCTACCAACCCTTCCTCACCAACGTCCCCGACGATCCCTCCCGTTTTAACCCATATCTCGGTGGACAGAGCTTCGAATCCTGCTGTCTGCTGGCCATCAACGAGAGCCTCTTTATCGACAATGACACGCTGCGCATCCGGCCCAACCAGACCTTTTTCCGGGGAGACATGGCCATGCTCGAGAGGTTCCCTTCTTTCCCGTGCGCCGCCACCTTCAACGGCACCATGGAGGGACCGCCCCAGGACTTTTGGACCCCCTACTCGTGGTGCCGCCGCCGCTGCCCCGGGTGGGCTGCCACCTCTCCCAAGACCTTCAGCTACTGGCTGAAGCCGCTGGGGGCCTTCATCCTGCCCTCGCTCATCTTTTGCCTCAGCATCCCGCGGAGACGCCGAATTGAGATGCCAACCGCGCTTGCCGCCTCTCACGGCCCGGACAGCACGTTGTTCGGGTTGCTAATTTATGCTGTCAAGGTGCTCGCGGCCTTTGTTGTCTCGACGATCGACATCCTCATCTGGCTCTCGGTCGTCTTCGCCATCGCGGGCCCCATCTTGGTTTCGGCCATTTACGAGGCCCTGCTCGACGCTGGGATCCTCCGGTTTCTGCAGGGCCGCCTCAGCTCAAACTCCCTGTCCCTCCACAGCCGCGCTCACCTGCTGCTCATCATCCTGATCGGCAACCTGGACTTTGACCCCGCCTGGCACCAGTCCAAGCTGCTTGTCCAGGACCTCTCCAAAGACCCATTCTTGTCGCAGTCGCAGATGGCCGCGATGGAGATGCCAGGGTTTCTCTCTCGGCCTGGCAGCCCTGCCTCATTCCACGATAGCTCCTCGGTGAAAGTGAAACTCCGCGCCATATTGGACTCGCAGTCAAGCTTCGGGGCCACGGTTGGCGCCCCTGTCCTGTTTTACATCGCTTCGTTCATATGGAGCGTCTACGAAATCGAGGCCTCTTACGGCACCTAGTCGGTTCCTTCCCCCCTACTCCTTCTCCCCCGCTACGGTGTCCCCGGCTTGCTTCTAACCCAACCTAGTCAGTCAGCACACCAAATTTCGTTCGGGATGATGTGGATGACGATACCGCATGTTGCTCTCGTCACCAGTATTTTACTTGCGGGAAACAACCCCAGCGCTTTCCAGGCCGCGGTTTCCTGCGATACAAGTAGCGAGAATGGAACCTCTGTTGTTCGGCTCGGAACGCCACCTCTGTCGGCGTCGACCTCGCCATGCCCAGCCCTGACAAGGCGGCGGCTCTTCCCATTCATATACGAGGGTCACTGGTCAACCTCGCCCTACCGGACTGCGTGGGTTTGGAACCGCGGGTCGAACAAGGCCCGATGGATCGCCAAACTGGCCGACGAGCACCATCCCCATCTCGATGCTCTCCACGGCGAGGTTCTGGGTGGCCGCTTTGGCCCCATGCTATGGTATTCTGGGTTTTGGGCATTCGTGCTGATTTTCATCCCCGTGTTCTTCGGGGGAGTGGTTAGGTGAGAGTTATTTTAATGCCATCGAGCGAGCTGCTTCGTCGGGGCGTATTTTGCAAAGCTAACATAGGTTATCGTGAAAAACAGCTACCATACCCCCTCTGTAGGGCTCGGCTGCTGGTCTCTGACCATGCTGTGCTATGGGGCTGTCCAGCTCTGGCTCATTATCCTCTGGCTTGTCAGCATGCTTGTCTGGCAGCGGGATGCTAATGGCAGGGTGATACACGATACCACACTCATCAAGAAGGCCGGCACGTGGGGTGGCTATGTATGGTATGCCGGCTTCGCCCTTTCAGTTTGCATTGGTATCTTTACCTCAGTCGGTGCGACAAGTAAGCCAGCCCCCCCCCCCCTAATAGTGATGTCTGATGTCTTCCTCGGGGAGTGGAAAACTAACACGACATCCTCGTTATCAGTTTTTATCTTGATTGGGCTCTACAGCAACTGTTTGTGCTTTACCCCTGTGAGTTCTTTTCGCGACCATGGCCGCTGTGTAGGATTAAATGGACTGACTTTAGTTAAAGGCGAGATACTGGTACAACATTATGACAAACCCGGACGCTACTATATTTTGGAACAGCACCACCGACGCCCAGCTGTACTACTCGCAAAAGTGGTGGTTCCCCGCCGGCGTGGCCGGTACTGTCTTTATGGCCGCCGTTGCGTGCCTAGGATGGTGGTACCAGAAGCGCCTGAGGTCACGCTTTCATCACCTTGTCGAGCGGATGTCTGCCGTTGACGAGAAGCACCTCAGAGAGAGCACCGGTGCAGTGCATAACGGATAGAATGCCAGTTCGTAGAAGTATATATACACACACATACATAGGCGGCGGAAGATTCAGTGATAGAGGAACCTCGGAAAGCGACTAGATTGCCATGTGCACCCGGATCTAATTTGGTAGTGGATGGGTGAAAAAAGACGTGTTGAAATCGGGAGCATAAACAGGGATAGATGGAGAGCAGAGATAGAATAGAATAGAGGGTGGGTATATTCGAAAAGTGTCCTGATTTTTCAAGCCTCACGGCATAACCGACACCGCCACCGAGCAGAAACTCATGCCAATAATCTGCCCAAACTCGAGCGTAAGCGTCACCTCCCAGCCCTTTGGGCCGTTCAACACTCCATCCGGCCGGGGCAGAGACAGGCGGTTGAGTGACTCCCTGAATGACCGTATCTTTGGAGGGATCAAGTCCTTGGACGCCACAAGGCTGCACCCGAAATAAATCTCGGCCTTGACGATCCTAGTCTTATCGCCATAGCCACGCCCATCAGTCTCATTTACACCTTCAATTACACTCCGCCCCGACGGTACCACCTGATCGCAATCCACTTGCAACCATATATTCGGTGCGCCCGTCGGACCGTGGTCAGTCCAGGCTACACTCAAGCCTGGCATCTGGCCTAGCGGGAAGTGAATCTTGCCCTGCGATGTGCTGTTACCCACCTCAGAAGGCCACACAACAGCCCGGCCGGAGAGGTGGAAAATATCGACGGGATGTTCGGCATCGGAGAAGACGCAGTTTCCGTGGATGGCGGCCAAGGGCACGGCAGCAAAGTCGGGCGTCTGCACGAGCACGCTGTCAAACAGGCCAATCTCAAACTTGAGCGCGGTTCGGAAGAGCGTATTCCACACGTTCTTGTCGTTATCCGAAGTCCAGAATTGTCGGTTCGCTTCGATAAACTCTAAAAAGGTGGTCAGCATCAAACTTCACGTCCTATTAGCGGGGGCGCCTGGAGGTAAGGAACTTGCGGCAGAGCTTCCTCGCGGATTCGTCGTTTAGGTTCGGTTCGACAAACGTCTTGTAAAAGATGGTTGCTATTTCCCTGGCGTCAGCTCTGGCAAGTGTCCAAGTTCGGATCGGGATATGGGGTGCCATACTGCGATCGGTCCGTGGGTCGTCAGCAAGCCTCTTGGCAATTTGGCTCCAGCCCTGAGCACTAGTTAGCCTCCCATAACGCCTGGACACGCAGACGGAAACGGGGGCTCATTACATATATGCACGGAACGGTATAATGTAGAGACTGAACCAGTCGTCGATGCTAGTCTGGCCGTTGAGGAAACTGGCGTACCCGATCTCGGCCGCGCTTGGCTCGATGCTCTCCATCTCCGAGGCGGGGATGCCAAGCTCATTCACACACATTGTCTTCCAGTCCTCGGCGATACCGACGGCGCTGGCGATCTTTTGGCTCTGTGCGCGTAAATCGTCAAAGGGCGTTGTCGGATTGAGCTTGGCGAACCGCAGGGCTTTGAACCGGGCATTGTCCAGGAGGTACAAGTAGTCTTGCTGGAAGTAACACCATCAAGGGTCAGTATGGATCACGAGTAGCACTTTTTTGATGAGAGGGCCTGCCTGCCTTGGCGAAGTCTTGGTATGCCGACTCGGGCAAGATGCCCAGGGCCATCCCTTTGCAGAAGCGGTTGTCTAAGAATTTGGCGTACAGATCTTTATTTTTCTGTATGAGATCGTAGATCAAGGTTCTTCATGGTGTTCAGCTGACATACGCGCTGGGATACATTGTTAAGCTGAGGATACACCTACCCTTCTGTCACGGTGTCTTGTGCCTCGCGGATGGCCTCTAGAGAAGCCCCGCGATTTGGGTTCGCGGCATCAAAGTTGGCATTCTCAAAGAGTTCCCTGATGCGGCCTGACGCCACGGAAGGCGGAATTCTGTAGAACGGGCTGCCAGTGCCCTCGATCACAAATGGGCTAGCTGGAGTGGGCGACATGGGTACTAGGGCTGGTACCGGTCGGGGAGTGAAGACGATGGAGGATATTATTGAATGCGGGCCGTTGAGGGGTTAGAACGGGGATGTTATAGAAGCTAGATAGATGGACTATGCAAACGGCGCTGGTTTGGGGAGGGAGGGGGCTCATAGATTATATTGGACAGAAAATCCATTCACGTCATGCTCGCCCATACTGCTTTCGGAACTTCAGGACATCCAGTGGCCGTGATGCTCTCGCAACAGAGCCAGTCCTACCCCCTACAGACGTTGTCTATTAACTCCGTACAGCCCTGCGGGGTGTTAAATCTTGAACTTCTGTTTCTAGGCCCCTGCTCGGGGTTTCCCGCGCCGGACAGGGAGTTACCTTTGGGCTTTGGGAACCTTTCAAACATCCCTTCTCTTATGAATTATTCACTGTTTTATTTTTCTTTTCCCTTCCCATCGATCGTCTTTCCCAGCTCTTAGAAAGAGGCGTTTGGGCCAGAGGTTGGGCATCTATCCCAGGTTCCCGGCCCAATCTTACGCTGGTCTAAGACTGACCAATGCCGACTCAGCGACTTTGAAACCACTCGTGTCCACCTGCACCTTAGGTTAGCTTCAGAAAGATAAAAATAAGGAAGTAGATTTACCTCGGTTGTGGTTTGTGAAGGTTATAAATTGAGTATTGGTATCGAGAAGAAATCAATCGGGTATAGTGAATAACGCTGTGATATAACTCACCTGTGTCTTCCGAACTTTAATCTCGAACACGACGCAAGGAAATCAGCTTCTGAGTGTCGATTTATAAATTTAGGGTATCGGCGTCATCCCTTCCCAAGGCAGATAGGCAAGCTAGCATCGGAATGGTTCCGACTGCCGCTGCCTGTAGTTCCCGTGCACCGGATCCATCCCGAATACGCCAACTGACGTGTCATTAGAATCCTCAGCTGCATGTATGGAAGAGCTCATGCTTCGAGAGTGTTTAACGGTTGCTCTAATATCCGAGGTTTGAAATCCAGTCATTTTAATAGCCAGGCTGTCTTTTCGGTGCAAGCATATTTGATGTTAATGGCGACACTTCTCCCCATAATAGTTTCTCGCTCGTCCATCTCGCTATCAAACTTGACCCCATCACACTAGCATCAAAATTCAACAAGCAAAGTCTAGGGCGCAGCGCGACCAAAGTCAATATGATCGAGCAAGCGAAGCAACACTTTCTAGATTTCATAGAAAAGAACCCGACTGTTCTGGCTTTCGGCCTCGTCACGCTGTCAGGTGCTGCCTTCTTCGTCGCAATCGCAGAATACTTCAAGCCAGTCGGCAAGCGGAAGCTGAAGGATGGCAGAAAGTCTCATCTTCCTCCTGGGCCACGCGGCTTGCCTATCCTTGGTTCACTGCACCTTCTGAAAGATGCACGACATGACCCATATCACAAACTGGTGCGTTCAACATTGATCCCCTGATCCCCTGATCCCCTTGTAAGCTCGATGGCTACTGACCCGGAAATCGTTGTGCAGCTTCTCGACTTAGCCAAATACGGTGAAATGACAACTGTTCATGTAGGGTCTAAGACCTGGATCTTCCTCAACAGCCATCGCGTGGTATCAGAAATCATTGCCAAAAGAGGCAGCGTGACGAATACTCGATCTCCCATGCCCATCTCCAGCGGCATCGTCAGCCATGATGGCCGTTCTCTCATCCTACCCCAGGAAGCCTGGGCCGAGCGACGGCGAGTCATGCACAGTCTTCTTAGCGGCAGTGCCCTCAAACAATATGGCGAGTGGCAGGAGCTCGAAAGCACGCAGCTGATGGCCGAATACTTGTTCAAGCCGCATCTCTGGTATAAACACCATTATCGATACGCAAATTCGGTCATCCATCGCATTGCCCTCGGCGAACGCCTCAGTAAATCAACACAGGAACTAGCAGACCTCCAAAATTGCGTCACCTTCTTCGTCGGCAGCATCGGATCCAGCGTGATCGACTGGTTCCCCGACCTCGCCAAGCTACCCAAGTTCATGCAGTTCTGGCGCCCTCATTGGGAAGCTCTGGCGGAGTGGAACTACAATGTCTACATGTCGTGGTGGGCGCCCGCGAGGAAACAAGTCGACGAGGGAACTGCGCCGCCTTCGTTCATTAGGGACGTGCTTTTGCACAGCGATACCAAGTACAAAGGCAACGACGAGGACTGCATGTACCTCGCCATGCAGCTGATCGAGGCGGGGAGCGACACCACTCGAGAGGCTCTCAACATCATGGTGATGGCAAGCCTCGAATATCCAGAGCCGTTCAGGAAAGCGAGACTCGAGATTGACCAACTTTGCGGCACGGGGGAAAACGCACGTCTGCCAGTCCTCACTGACATGGATGATTTACGCTACATCTGCGCAATAGCGAAGGAGGTCTTGCGCTGGAGGCCCATTTTCATCCTTACCCCGGATCACGTTGCATCCCGCGACTTTGAGTTCGAGGGCTACAGATTTCCTGCCGGTACTGGGTTTGTCATTAACGAAGTTCCTGTGGGAAACGAGTGTGAGAATCCCGAGGTCTTCTACCCAGAGCGATGGATGGATGGCCATGAAACGGATATCGCCCATGGGCTGTGGCAGTTTGGGGGAGGCCGTCGAATCTGCGTTGGTTACCGTCTGGCGCAGAGAAGCCTCTTTATCAACATCGCCAGACTCGTCCAATGCGTTGACTTTAAACCCGTACGTATTTTCCACGTTTGGGAAAATTGAAATCATTTTTTTCTCTCGCCCTGCTAACGGTATATATTCCTAGGACGGTCCTTACAACTCAAAGATTCTCAATCAGGAATCGACAGATGAACCATTCCCTGTCAAGGCCACCATCCGGAGCAAGCACTACGAGAATCTAATTGTGCGGGAGGCTACAAAAGCCGGCGTCTTGGGGGACGCCCAGTTGGTCCGGAACTAATGCGGGGAGTTCGGGTTAGGGTTAACAGATTTTGCGAGTAGTGGTGTTGCAGAATCGGAAACTTAGATAGTGCTCGAGGTGTTATGGACTCTCCGAATTCAAACGTCCTGGAAAGTCTTGATATCGGCAGTGACTGTTCGATTCCTACCTGGCGACGTAGTGATTGGTCATGGTTCATGTTAGAATTACTCTACGGCCTCCCGTTGCCCGCCTGTAGCCCCAAGACAACCACTTGCGCCGCCACCATCTTGCTTAACTCTTCGGATCATAACAGACCAGGCTTAAGGAGATTCGTGTTCCGACGTGGCCGTGAAGAGCGAAGGCAATTTGACGGGTGTCGTTGGAGTGGGACTTAAAGGAGCAAAGTCAATTTCATGGGAACCGAGGCCTGCAGCAAGAACCCTTCAGTTAACCTTTCGTTGGCCAAGTCTACTGGGTCGGAATCATCCCGATCGTCCTCCGAAACGTCCGAAATCAGCTTTTTTTTCATATATCAATCAGCCAGAGGCATTTCTGCAAATCGCAAATCCACCACTAAGGATTAGAGACTGTTACCATCGCAAGTTGATTTCCCAAGTTGATTCGCCACCTCCTTTGCCATCATGTCAATGCCACGCGAAGGATTCACAATCGACCTAGTCGGGAGACTTTTGCGTCGCAGCATTTTCAATCCCATAATCAGCACACCACTGGCTCTCGGAGTCTACTGGCGCCCTCTTGGTTTCTCTGACTCTAATTCCAGTCATATTTTGGAGCAAGTTGCATACATCTTCGCAGCCTGCAGCCTTCTCCTCTCCGCGAACGACATCCTCAACCAACAGTTCCACAACAACTGGACAAGCAATGCTGGCTGGAATTGGGACAAGGAAATTGTTATCATAACGGGAGGAAGCAGCGGTATTGGTGCCACACTTGCTCAGGAACTCTATGCTCGAAATCCCAAAACGCGAATTGTCGTCATCGATTACGTGCCTTTAACTTGGGAGCCAGAGAAAGGATCCCCGGTCAGCTACTATCAGTGCGACTTAAGCAACTCGTCTAACATCCAGGCCGTATGCAACAAGATTCGGCAACAAGTCGGGCACCCTACAGTCTTGGTTAACAATGCAGGCATCTGTCGTGGAGTCACTGTCTGCGATGGTGCTTATGGCGATGTGGAGTCGACTATACGGACAAACCTCATCGCGCCGTTTTTGTTAGCTAAGGAATTCCTGCCTTGGATGATCCAGCACGACCATGGCCACATCGTTAACATTAGCTCGATGAGCGCACTTCTCCCTCCGAGCAAGGTGGCAGACTATGCGGCGACGAAGGCCGGCTTGGTAGCGCTACATGAAGTACGTGAACCTTTGGCCGTGAAAGACAAACAGAAGTGGTTTCTCATTCTGGTTAGTTTTGCAGTGGCTAATTCGATTTAGGCACTGCAATTGGAATTGAAATACGCACACGACGCACCTCGGGTGAGGCTATCGTTGGCTATATTCAGCTTCATCAAGACGCCTTTGTTCAGGGGAGAAACCAGGCAATCGCACTTCTTCTTCCCATTGCTCGACGTACGCACCGTTGCCGAGTCACTGGTTGATGTGCTTTATGGTGGGTATGGCAAAACCATCTATATGCCCGGAATCATGCGATATGTCGCCATCATGGTAATGCTATTGCCCCTGCTTAGCCCCCAACTGCCCGAGATATAATCAACGCCGTGCTGACTAGTGGCTGGATATAGAAGGGAGGACCTGACTGGCTCTGGAGGGTGCTGCGAGAAGGTACAAACAAACTTGGTGTCGACTTCAGAGGGAGACAAAAGGTAGATCCGAAGACGGGGAACTTCGTTCAATCCTAGATCTGGAGATATAACGATTGGCTGCGGGACTCGATTCTTAGAATTGATGTGATTTAATACACGGAGTGGACAATCGTATTAATTTCTGCATTCTATTTGTCGATATTATTGTACAACATACTTCGTAGATGCGCCAATATTACTATCTACGACGTCGAGGTCATGGTAACATTTACAGACATCTATTTCACCACAGCTGGGAAAGTCGCCATTATTTTGTGCCAAGTGGTCTAAACAGCACTTGTCAACTCGCTCGGAGTATTGCAGTTCCCGGTGCTCGAGGAACCAAGATCATCCTGGTATCACCATATTGGATGGGATGGGATTGATGCGGGGAGATAGGAGTAAGGAGCAAGGAGTAAGGAGCATAGGTGGTCTACGAGCATCCGTAAAAATTGTAATGTCACTTAGCTCTCAAGGTCTGAGGAATTGCCTTGACCTCGAGAGCGCCGACGGAGCTTGTCGGACACGCGGACAGTCGGCCTCTTAGCCCCCGCCGGCTCCGACGGGATTCACCCGACGTGCGCGGAGACATTCCGAGGGCACGGTTTGGGGTTTTACAACGTATCTAGCTCTGGGTGGGTGACTTTAGCCTTCACGAGAAACGAAATGAACCTCGGATGTCCTGTTGAACTTCTTAATACTGAATCCGATAGACTACATGCAGGTTCTCATCGAATGAAGCGCAACACCACATATAGATATCACCTGCTCGTGCGCTCTAGCGACAAGCAAACCACCATCTAAGCGGATCAACCATCATAGAGGCCGGTTCCAAAATCACTCATCCCTAATCGCAAAAATCCCAATTCTCTCTTTCAAAATGCACTCGGATAAGCGCAACTACAGCCAATTTGCCTGCGTTGGCAGTGGATTTTCCGCTATTGGCCTCGGCGCAACACTGCAAAGGTGGTATGGCCTCAACGATATCAAGTTTTTCGAACGATCTAGCGATTTGGGCGGGACGTGGTTTACAAATAGATACCCAGGTACGTTTAAGATAGCACTCGCCTACTTGATCAAAGTGAGCAGACAACGGCATTAACGTCGAGGACAGGCTGTGCTTGCGACGTCCCCAGCGCTCTCTATAGTTACTCCTTCGAGCCAAACCCAGATTGGAGTCGAGTCCTACCTTCGCATGACGAATTGTGGCAATACTTGAGGGGGGTGGCCGACAAGTATGCCCTGGTCCCGAAAATGACCTTCGGAGTCGACGTCGAGAAGTGCGAATGGGTCGAGGAAACAAAGCGATGGCGGTTGCATATCCGACACTTGAAGACAGATCATGTCTTCACCCACGAGTGCCAGTTTCTCTTCGGTGCTGCTGGCCAGTTAGTTCAACCAAGGGAGCTTGACGTTCCCGGGGCTGAGAGCTTCAAAGGTCCCATCTTCCACTCGTCCCGGTGGAGAGATGATGTGAGTCTCGAAGGCAAAAAGGTGGTGGTGTTTGGAAACGGATGCACGGCGGCCCAAATCGTGCCATCTATCGTAAACAAAACCGAACACCTCACGCAAATTGTGCGGGCGAAGCACTGGATCCTCCCACCCATTGACGGTGCCTACACGGACGCCATGCGACTTGTATTCAAGTACGTTCCCGGAAGCATGAAGCTCCAGCGTCTCATAATCTACCTCGCAGCCGAAAACGAACTGAAGGGGTTTCCAATGACCTCTTCGGCCGCACGCTTCCGGCAGAAGCGCCGTGTTGAGGCCGAAAAGTATATGAGATCGCGGGCTCCCGCCAAGTACCACGACATCTTGATCCCTGATTTCGAAGTGGGCTGTAAGCGGAGGATTTTCGACTCGGGGTATCTCGACTGTCTGCATTCGAAAAATCTCACTTTGACGAACGAACGGGCCTTGAAGATCGTGCCAGATGGAGTTATGACCGAGCGCGGCCTGATCGAAGCTGATGTCATTGTGTTGGCCAATGGTTACGTGACGAATAAGTTCCTCACTGGCATCAACGTCGTCGGACGCGGGGGCGAGAAACTCACCGAACATTGGGAGTCGTTTGGTGGAGCTGAAGCCTATAACTGCTCCGTGATGAGCGGATTCCCCAACTTTTTTATCCTGCTGGGTATGTTATGTGACGAGAATGAACGGGCCAACCTAGCATCATGGCATGGAAAGCTAACGAAGACTGACACTTTTCTGTCGTTCCAGGACCGAACGCCGCAACTGGACATACGTCGGCCATCATGGCCTCGGAGAACAGCATCAACTATGCCTTACGTTTGATCAAGCCAGTCCTAGATGGTAAAGCGGAATTCGTTGAGCTGAAGAGAGATGCTGAACAGCGGTACGTCGATCGCATCCAAGAGGATCTGTCCAAGACGGTGTGGAACTCCGGATGTCAAAGCTGGTACATCGAGAGCGGTCCGGAGGGAAAAACTTGGAATGCCATGAGTTATCCATACTCCCAGGCTCATTTCTGGTACCGAAGTCTATTCCCTGTCTGGAGCGATTGGAATATTGCAGTAAGTCCAGTCCCGAGAGTTTGCTTTCGGTTTCTAAAGATGCGCTAATTCGGACTTTTAGAAGGTGAGGAAACAGACGAAGACTTCATTCTTACTATGGCTGTTCAAGGCGACTCTTCTGTGTGGCGGGCTATCCTCCATCTTCGCTCTTTGTTATTTGGGATGGAGATATCAAGGAGACATTGAAAGGTACTATCCGTCCCTTTCGAAGAACTTGGCATACTATGCCAGCCTCCTGAAGTCTAAGTTGCATTTAGAGTGATAACTCGAGTTTCATAATCATCGGGTTGAGTCGTATAACGCCGAGACCAGGTCGAATCAACGGACTTCTTGAGCCGTGATATAGTTTTTTGTACTAAGCAATTGAGGACAATCTGCGCGATAGGTGAAAATAATTTACCAAGCCCAATTTCATCTCACCCCAATACTGCCCTTTTCCAATGCTGGTGAAGTTGATTCCATCCAGGCGCCGATGATAATGCCCTCCCATAACAGAAAAGAAACCCGATTCAGTCAAGCAACACCGTCGTCGACAAGGTGCCCATTGCTCCCCTCTTGTGAGATTGTTGAAATTCAGAATGCTCGCTCATTGTCTGCCCATATCCCCATGCCACAGTCATATCATTTGTTGCTTTTTTGTTTTCTTTCCACTCAAAGCACACACAAAACAAAGGAAAAGGAGACAACAGAGCCGTTTAAGGCTCTCCCCAAATCTCATCGGCAATCTCCCTCACCAACCTCAACTTAGCGGCCTGCTCCTCCGCCCCAAGCGGATACCCGCTCTCATGCGTACTAAACCCGCACTGAGGGCTGACACAGACCCTCTTCAAAGCCTCCTCCCTCGTCTGCCCGCTCCCCTCAGCAATAAACTCCGCCGCTCTGTACACCCTCTGCTTCATCTCCTCCTTATCCTCGAGCTGGGGCACCTTGGTGCTAATAATGCCGACAACGACGTTCTTATCCTTGGGAAGGAAGCGCAGGGGTTCGAACCCTCCGGCACGCTCGGTGTCGTACTCGAGGTAGAAGGTGTTGACGTTGAGGTTCTCAAAGAGCTTCTTGGCGATGATGTCGTAGGCGCCCTCGGCGAAATGGCGGCCGCCGATGAAGTTGCCGCGGCAGAGGTGGATGCCCGTGTGGAGGTCCGGGGGGAGGCCGGAGAGGCTGTCGTTGTAGAGCTTGATGTAGGCGTCGAAGAGGTCTTCGACTGTGCCGATGTTGTCGGAGTCCGCAGCCCAGCCGTCGCGGAACTTTTGCGAACAAAAGTCTGGGGAGCGAGTTAGAAACAAGAAGAACAGGTGGGAACTCTGAACAAAAAAGGAATCCTCTCCACAATTTCCTGGAGATGACAAAAAAAAGGTAAAGGATAAAGGTTCAGCTTACAGGCCATGCCGGGATCGTCAAACTGGACGTTCCTCAACCCGGCATCATAAAGCTGCTTCAATTCCGCGTTGTATACCTTGGCCACATCCGCGAAATACTCCTCATCATTCTTGTACGCCTCGGGGGTGTAGGCCCTCCCCTGCTTATACCTCATATGGAACCACGCCGGAGTAATCACAGTCAACTTAATATTCCCCCACTCCTCCTTCGGCACAAACTCCTGAATGAGCTTCACCTCGTGCAAATTCGACACTGACTTCGCAGGATCATGCACCAACTTGCCTCCCGCAATCACCGAATCGCCAGGCATGACCTTCCTATCCTTCTCGATCAAGCTGACGACATCCGGATGATAAAGACGGAACATGGCAGCCTCGGCATCCTGGAGACGCGTAGTACCTTCGAACTCGTCCCAGGTGAGACCCCAGAAGCGTGTGCGCACGAACTCACCGTCGGTGACGCCCTTGAAGCCGAGGTCGCGCTGCAGCTTGACGACGTTGCCAATGGCTTCGCGCTCGGCGGCAGGGAGGCCGGCTTCTTCGGGGGAGAGGTTCTTGTCGCGGATGGACGCGCGGATGTCCAGGAGGGTTTGGGGTCGGAGGAGGGAGCCCATGTGCTCGGCCCTGAAAGGTGGTCCTTGGTGTTGGCTAGACATTGTGGAGGGGTTAAGGGTGGCGGAAAAGTAAAAGTAAAAGCTTGTTTACTAAGGAACTTAGTCGAAGTATGCTTGAAGAGGGGGGGGGGGGTGTGGCGCGGCAATTGGCAAGTGTAGGAGATCAATCAAGAAGCGAGAGAAGTGCCTGGATGGGGTTGGAAGCAGGCAGAAGAAGAGAAGGAGAACAGAGTTTTGTCACAAAGAAGAGGGCAGGGCGGGCAGAGGCCGTTTTAGGAGCAGTTCTGCAGCGCGGGGTTGTTTTACGTTGGTGTGCGAACCATTGGAACCATCCGAAGCGAGAGAACGGGAACGGACTGCGGGGGTCGGGTTGAGCGGCTCCCGTCTTGGTTGGGTTACATTAGCCCGTATTAAGGACGGAGCTTAGCATCACAGAGATATCTGAGAGCCAGAGCTGCGTCTGCCCGACCTTAATGACGAGATCTATCCAAAGGCAAAAACTAGAATTATGAGCTGGAGAGTCGACTGGGCCTCTATCCACCTCATCGTCCTCGAATCCCTCATGAGTCTGCCTGCCAGAGCTTGGCTCCGTCGGTTCGCCGTGCCGCTATTCCCAGATTCAGAGCTTTTGTTTGGCTGATCCATCCCACGTCAGACGAAGCTCGCTACCACGAGAATATATATTGGCTTGCTGACACCACCTGCACATCTCTACTGCCTTACTGTGCTTCGCTATAGCTATCGTCGGAAATGGGCTTGCCATCAAAGTCTCTACGGTCGCTGTTAAGTGGCTGCACCTCGCATTCGGTTTTGGACATTCCCCAGTCCCTCCCCCTCTCAAGCAATCGGGGAATTTCCCACATCTCTCTTACCCCGCTTGTCATGCGAATGCCAATGCAAACGCCCTACCATTCTGAGCGGGGTAAAGAACGCTGTCATGCCTCGTCGAGAAGGAAACCTAGTCTAGATTGGGAAGAGCCTGTGTGCAGATTAGCGGGGATTCGCACAGGGGATGTTAGGAGCGGGTCCGATTGATGAATCATGTTTCCAGACTTAAGAATGGAACGGGAATACGTTATTCCAGACCTTCGACCTCTCTTCTTGTTTCTCTCCTTCGCACTTACACGTCGACGGTTCAAACAGCTCAGCCAGTATTATGTATGGTATTCGGCTTCCAGCATTCAGTTCTCATTTGGTCGTTTTCGCTACCTTAATGCAGCCCCTTTCTTTATTTATTCCATGCCCTGGAAATTAGGATTCGGTCAGGTGATATCTTGTTCTATCCTACATGTCCCCGTTTCAGTTCCTTGTTTGCGCTGGGGACTTCTGTCCGCAGGGTTTTCATTTACTATTAATTAACGAATCCGACGTCTGTTAGTTCTTGTGTGAGTTTTGCAACACCTTCCCGTAGGAAATCGGTCTATGACTATTAGTACTAACGCTATCCTTTTTTCCATGTGCTGTTGAGGTCAGAGCTGCACTTACCTGTCTTAATCCCAGTTTTACTAGCTTAGCTAGTATATTTGTATTTAACTTCTTGTAATGAGACGGATCAATGTGGCTCTAACCGAAACATCTCATATAAGAACCGAAAAGATATACACATATAGCCAAGAGTCTAAAATAGTTCTCACTAGAAACCGCTACAGACTCTCTATAAAAGCCGATAGACGGCAATTTCGGTAGCTAATAAAATATAGTAACGGGAACATGTAATGGAAGCCTTTGTAGGAAGGAAATAGTTGGCACAGCTGGTACGTAAACCACGCACTTCACAAAGTAGAAGGAAACAGATATCGAACATTCTGTTACGATCCTAACACCAGCTGGTTGACGGTATCAGGTGGATACAGCTGGTGACAGGGCCGAGGTGGTTGTCTGTTTAAGTGAGGCAGTCAAACAGTATTCACAAGATGTTGGTGAGAAGTGCGTATTCAAGTGTAGGGGTGTAGTTGTACTTGAATTGACTACTGGAGAGTCTTGAAAGACAAACTAGATACATGGTAGAACCCGTAGTTTATATAGACGTTTCCCTTCCAAGCTCTCCAGGGTGATCGGAGCTCTTTCTTGACTGATCGGAACCGGTCGTTTGGTGATCGCCACCGATCACCTCTTTGCGCCTCCGATCGCTTCCCTGTCGTCCGCCGGTCGGCCGCGTACAGCCGCCCGGTTATTATTTTCTGCCGTGTCCTACCGCTTTTGGGCCTGCATAAAGGTTGGCCCGTGACATACTCGCTCCGTAACAAGAACCGTGACAAGGTATAGGACATTTTAATACAGGTCCCCAATCTGATCTTCAACTATTCCTTTTCCTTTTTCAAACCTGAGCAACTCCCACTTTAGCCTGAGCAGGGGTAAGCAAGGTACTCCGTACACATGGACCACTGCCGTCAATGCGCTGAGAATTGCTTTTGCAAAATGGCCTGGGCGTACCATGTTCTGGCCACATGGCTGCTGGGGAATGTCTCCCGTCTCCTGTCGGGGGGCAAAAGTAGCAAATAACGCAGCAATATCATGCCACGGAACAATCCATAAAACATTCTATACGCCACTAAATTGGGCCAATTCGTCGACGCCGATGTAGAATTAACCTTTTAGTATTTTTCCGAGGCAACGTTTAGTGAATTTCGGTGTTAAGTACCTCAGCATTGGAGAAAGGCTATTCTAAGCACAAGAGAGGCAGAAACAAACTATACAATAAAGGGCGCATAATAAAGGCTATATAATTATCCTCTTATCACCTTAGGGCACCTGCCGCTTTCTGCTTCTCGACTACTTCCAGATGGCCTCTTCGAGCAGCTGCTTGCAGTGCAGTCCCCCCCCATAGTCCAAGAGCATTGATATCAGCTCCTGCTGCTAGTAGTTTATCAACTACTTCCAGATGGCCTCCTCGAGCAGCTGCTTGCAGTGCAGTCCCTCGATCTACAGTCCCTCGATCAGCATTAACATCAGCTCCTGCTGCTAGCAGCTTGTTGGCTACTTCCAGATAGCCTCCTCCAGCAGCTTCTTCCAGTGCAGCCCCTCGATTAATATTAACATTAGCTCCTGCTGCTAGCAGCTTGTTGACTACTTCCAGATGGCCTCCTCGAGCAGCTGCTTGCAGTGCAGTCCCTCGATCTGTAGTCCCTCGATTAGCATTAACATCAGCTCCTGCTGCTAGCAGCTTGTCAACTACTTCCAGATAGCCTCCTCCAGCAGCTTCTCGCAGTGCAGTCCCTCTATCAGCATTAGCATCGGCTCCTGTTGCTAGCAGCTTGTCGACTACTTCCAGATGGCCTCGTCCAGCAGCTGACTGCAGTGCAGTCCCTCCCAATAGTCCATTAGCATTAATATCAGCTCCTGCTGCTAGTAGCTTGTTGACTACTTCCAGATGGCCTCCTCCAGCAGCTTCTTGCAGTGCAGTCCATCCATCAGCCTTAGCATCAGCATTAGCATCAGCTCCTGCTGCTAGTAGCTTGTCAACTACTTCCAGATAACCTCCTCTAGCAGCTGCTAGTAGTGCAGTCCCTCTATTAGTCCAAGCATTAGCATTGGCTCCTGCTGCTAGCAGCTTGTCGACTATTTCCAGATGGCCTCTTCGAGCGGCTTCTTGCAGTGCAGTCCCTCCCCATAGTCCAAGAGCATTAGCATAGGCTCCTGCTGCTAGCAACTTGCCGACTACCTCCAGATGGCCTCCTCCAGCAGCTACTTGCAGCGCAGTCCATCCATCAGCATTACCATCAGCATTAACATCAGCTCCTGCTGCTAGTAGCTTGTCGACTACTTCCAGATGGCCTCCTCCAGCAGCTGCTAGTAGTGCAGTCCCTCTATTAGTCCCAGCATTAGCATCGGCTCCTGCTGCTAACAGTTTGTCGACTAATTCCACATGCCCGTTTTGGGCAGCATACCACAGCGGCGCTCGGCTGTAAGTATCCTTCAGATTCGTACTATACCCAAATCTAAGGAGTGTAACCGCAGCCTCGGTTATTCCAAAATATGCTGCCAAATGTAGACCCGTCATTTTCCTTGGAGCGATTGGATTGTAATTTGAGGAAAATAGTTTGTCGTCGGCCATCAGCGCTTGACTTGATGCCTCTACCTTAGCTTTATTCTCGAGAAAGCTGATGACCACGTCGCTTGATTCTTGGCTTGGTTTTACATCCTTGCGGGCATGGTGTCCCCAGTTGCGTGCGGCGTACTCGTAGAGTGGATATAACCGCAGCCGCTCCTCAAACTCTTGGCCCGCTTCACAAAATCCGGTCTCAAAGACGCTGAACGAAAGGTAGGTAACACAGACCATTGTGATCGTAGATTCTGCATCCGGAAACCATGTATCCTGCGTCTTCTCGAGGTATTGTTGCGTTGTGTAGTGAACTAGCCGGATAATACTACTTTCTTCATCGACCGTTACCAATCCAGCGCATACGGAGACCATATCTCCGATGTCTAACAAATCCCCATCGTGAAACTCGGATTTTCCTGTTTTAGTTGCAAGAGCATGTCGAAGTTCGGACGTAGTAAGCTGTCTTTTCGAGCATGTGATCCAGGCCAGAACGTCCATCGCAAGCTTCTTGAATCTTGACTTCTGCCCATTGATTCTCTCCATGGTTTGTCTGTAGGCTTCATCTAGCACTTGGATCTTTTGCTTTTCGTCTAGTTCTTGACTATGCTTGGGAAAAACCTCCATTGCATTTCGGACTTCATTGAGTGTGAGCTTATCATCAAGCAAACCAAGATAGACTTGCGCTAAGAGAAACCTGCAAATAGTCAGCGTCTGTATTGCTCTTTGTATTAGGTAAAAACGTACATTCCATCAGCAGCTTCTGAAACCCTTGTCTTAATCTCTTCTTGTAGCTGTTGGTTACGCCGGACAACGGCTGGCAACTGCGTTATGCGGTCGTCTAGGTATCGTGCCACATCGTCGGCACTCGCACGAATCTCAAGCCGTACATTGGATTTAAAGTGGTCAACAATATCTGGAATGAATCTTGATGTCGCAAAGATATTCATTCTGTACTTTGTCTGAATGTTGGAGAGCTGAGAGAGAAACTTTTTCCGGCAGT